GAAGCCAAAGCCTAAACCTCAAACCTTGAACCCTGAACAACGACGCATCCAAACACTACTTTCAGCCACACGTTACACACTCCGGCCTTGGCGCGCTCCTCGGCAACGGCGCTCTCGCGGTTGGCATTGGCCCTCTGAAGGTCGGACTCAAGCACGGCGATCCTGGCGTGCTTTTTCGCCGTGCTTGCAGTGTTGATAAGACGGATTTGGAATAAGGGGTTTGGGCCTCGTGGCTTTCAGTTTAGGGTTCAGAGTCGCTTCTCGGAACGACAGGGTTGCTTCCATGGTCTTGCACTGCGCCTTTTGCGCCTTTGGATGATCAGAAGACGCATCAATAACTTTTGTGAAAGATCTTTAATTTGGCTGTCGCAGCTGCAGAAGCACCATGCGAAACATGAGCTGTGGCCTGGCATCTCTCTCAGAGACTTTGCCCTGTATCGCTTCCAAGGCTTCAATGCTGATCTGGCACCAGGGACAGGGTGTGCAATTCTAGCGACAAATGTGGAATCCCAGCATCCCTTACATATATATATATATATACCCTATGATCCCTGCAATCCCTACATAACCCTACATAACCTTCTACTCCCTGTAGTTTCCATCTTATTTTCTATTATCCCAATACTACCCCCATATAACCCCTACTATAACCCCTATGTATTCCCTAGTTTCCATTTAATTTTCCATGTTCTTTTTCCATTTGACTCTCCACTCTTAATCCTAATATGATCCCAACATTACAGGGGTGGTTGTCAAAATTATGGTCCTTTTTTGGGTACCCTAAATATTAGGGGCCGTACTATAATGGGGACCCAAAAAGGACCATAATTTTGACAACCACCCACATATCAACTCAGGCTCAAACGCTCCTGGCCTGACCGGCCCGTCGTACAGCCGAAGACCCTGGGGCAGCACCTTGCGCCTTGAACGTACAGGCTGCCGCACTGCTTAATATTAGGATCATATGGTTATATTAGGGATGTAGCGGCTATATATATAAGGTTATATAGGGTTATATAGTATTATATAACATATTCTAATGTATTTCTGTTACATTAGGGATATAGGGGGTATATAGGGTTTTGATAGGGATATATCAGGGAAATAGGGGTTATATAAGGTTTCAAAGTATATTATAGTATATTGAGGTTATATATAGGAGTTGTCATGTGGGATACTGGAAAAGAAAATGGAGACCACTATTTAGCGATCTGTAGCTGCCAATTCTCTAACACTCCTTGTGACCGTCGACCTGCTGGAAACACGCATCGGCATCCAGCTCTCGTGCCTCAAGAACCTTTGCACGCCACTGCTGCTCCTCTTCAAAATGGCAAAGTGTTCAAGAATTTATTCGGTCAGGGCTGTGCGCATATCACTCACCATCCTGCCGCGGCAAGCACAAGCCCCTGAAGTCCTTGCTAGATTTACAAAGAACAAGCTGCCACGTCCATTGCAGCTGCTGCTGCCACTGCCACTGCCACCGTCACTGCCACTACTAGTGACACATGGGGTCCTTAAACGGGTATATAAAGGCTTATACAGCTTCAAACGGGTTATGTGGCCTACATAGGATCCGTTAAAAGGGGTTATGAGGGCTATACATGGTCTATTACAAATGTTGCAGGGATGCAGTGGGGTTGAGCACTGCAGAGATACTCTGGGTTGGGCACGGAGCACTGCATGGTTTACTCTGTGCTTGGGCACAGCAGGAATTTTCTGCGATTGGGCACTGATTCTCTGCGGTTGGGCACTGCAGGATACTTCGTGGTCGGGTACTGTTTGGATACTCTGTGGCTGGGCGCTCATGCACTGCGCGGAGGGCAAGGAGAACATAGACTTCTTGAAATAAAACAACCCCACTCAAAAAAACTGCATGCAATAGACGCCTGATTCCTACCAGTAGTACCACTACTACTGCTACCACTACTAGTACTACAACTGTTACTATGATGCATATGATTATTATAGCTGTTCCTGTTATTTCTGGTGCTGGCTCCTGGTCTGCCAGCTTGGACTCAGCGTTTGCAACCTCACGCTGGAGGTTCTGGATCTCCTTCTCATCTGCCTGATGGCAAAAACCTTACTGGGGAGTTGTAGGGAATAAACGGGAATATGTCGTGTACAGGCTTATATAAGGATGATTTAGGGATTATAATCCCTACATGATCTCTATATAATGTACTCCTTTAATCCCTACTAATCCCAGTAGGCTGATGGCAGAAACACAAAGGTAATGCTACACGTCATGGGTCACATTATGGTTCTGATCATTATCGCAGCGTTAGCATCATGACTTTTAAAACTGTTGACGTTATCAGTTGCTGCTGACCATAGCATACTCAGGCTGTTAAGATTCTTGCTGCTAGCGCGCTTCTTGCCTTTCTCGAAAAAATCATTATCGTAACGCTATTGCTGCCGCCACCAACCACCACCAGCTCTCTTCATCCTCCTGCAACACTACTCCGGCTACTACCACAACCACCAATTCTGCGACTACTACTTCTTGGTCACTGCTACCACTTGTTGTTGCTCGCCTGCCGCGCTTTCTCCAGCTGCTGGTGTTGCTCCTGTCGTAAAGGCTCATATCGCACAGCTCCGTTAGCAACCGCGCAACGACGAAACCACACTGCGATGACTGAGCATAGCTTCAAGATTTCAAGACATCTCCTCATAACATCCTGCTGCGGCTCCCTGAGGTACGCAGCAGCGCAAGATATACTGACAGCTGCAACCTGCTACATCCTTCCTTCTGTCCCAGTAGTCCTGCACTATCTGCAAGCTCAAACTAGCTCTTCCTACAGTGTGGAGCATAGCCGCTATAGGAGTGTGTAAGCTTGTAGACCCAGTTCGCGGCAAAGCACCCCACTTCGCACCTTGGCAATTTCCAGGCTCCGCTTGTGCTGCAACTCCTACATGGCTCCAAGAATGGCTGGAAGTTGGAAGAGTGGAAAGTGCAAACTGCTCTGAGTTATAGAACTTGTGGCAAATAAACTTGGCGTCTCGGAGAGAAGTCCCTCGATCTGCTCGCTTCTGAAGATCGCTTCTGCAACTAAAACAAGTGCTGGTGCTTCAACCTGGGAGGAACTCTGATCGAAAGAGCCAGCAGGGTCCTGGAGCTTGGAGTCCGCCAGCTTCCTTGTTGGAAATCACAGCAGGGTGCAATTAGAGGGAGCTGCTTTGCACGTCACTAGTCTTGATGTGCAATTCGTGAAGCCCAGACCCCCACTCCATCTACAGGATCCCCCAGGCATAAAGCTCCGGTGGAACCCTTGAAGAAATTCTCTGAAATTATTGAGAGGCACTTCGCCATCTCCAGAAGTCGTTGGCGCGGTGCTTCGGAGTCCAGATCCAAGGTCTGAACAAGATGCAGGCAGATCTGCAGTTCTAGGAGGCAGGAGAGGAAACATTGCAGGAGATAGACTGTGACAGACTCCTGGCTTCTTCGTAAGATGATACAAATCCTTGCGTTTTGGCACCAATGGCGTTTTGGAACCCATGCCAAAAGCGCTTCGTATGCGACTGTCCCAGAGGAACACCATGTAGACATATAGACGACCTAAATCATATTCTAGTGACTTTATTCCTGATGCTGCTGTTCCTGTGTCTTCTACTCAGAGTCAGGGTACTAGCGCATCGGCTACTACTGGCACTGAAGCTCATCCTCAGTGCTCCGCTGCATACTTTGTGCATTTCAGATTCGGCACTTGATGCTGCTGAAGCTGATGCTGCCCTCTTGATCCTTGCCGCTGATATTCTACATTCCCCTCCCTGCTCTCTGCTTGCTGGCTTGCTTGAGCGAAGCTCGAGACCGTACATATCTTTCTTGGCCAGGCAGATGCCCAGCCGTTGTGGGCGCTTGAGCCCGCGCGCAAAGAAGCCTTCATTACACTTTGACCTTGAATCCGACTGGAATTCCAAAGCTTCCCGTACGAAGGTGCCTTGAGCTCCACTAGGAGCTCCTGTGCTTGCTGTGCTCGGAGCCGGCACGAATCTGTCTCGGCCTGCATTCAGCAAGGTAACATGCCTGGCGCTGCCCGTGAGTGGCCTGGTTGCGCAGCAGCTCCAAGCGGACTTTGGACAGGCGCTCCTAGTCCAAAGAGTCTTGCAGGCATCAGCGAAAAGGAAAAAACAAAATGGACCGCCAACGCGAAGACGCCACGACCATGGTCACTGGCAAGCTCTCAAGAGAAAACAACAATCTCCTCCAGCTCCATCTTTCGGCTGGAAATCTCCTCCAGGCGCGAGGTCAGCTGCCTGGCCTCGTGGAATGCACCCCACTGACATTGAGCGGTCACACTTGTGAGCAGCTGCAGTTGCAAGCAAAACTTCAAGTCTTTCTGCCTGCATTTGCGGAGCCAATACCAACATAATAACCAAAAACCCCGCTGCTCGTCAAACAGAAAGCCTTGTCCACAGGCATGGCGGCAGCACTCTGCTCAGCAAGCTGCGCAGCCTGTACAACTTGTTGATTTGCGGGCTCTCTTGGTATGCAAACGTGGCAACATCTACTTCCTGATTCAGATACGCATATCCAAACTTGACCCTCAAGCGAATCCACTTGAACGGCCTGTGCCGACGCCTCAGTCAGACGCTGCCGCAGTTGCTCCTGGTTTGGGATTGCCGGTGGGATTCCAAGCAACTATCCAACTGAAACTGAATGGATTTGAGAGCTTCTTCGGCGAGCTGAAGCTGAAATAGCTAAAGGATGTTGTTTGTGCACTGGCTGTGGAACTGAGGTGTTCAGCACGACACCAGCTTGGGAAAGCTCTATAGCTCAAAACTCAGTTCCAGAGATTCAGGTTTGAGTTTGAGAGTGATCCAAATTAAGGATGCCTCTTTGGGATTGCAGACAGAACAAGGATTTGCCTCTTTTCACACAGCTAGTTGACGCATGCGAAGCTCCTATGCTTGCGCACAAGAAGCCCGCCGCTCAAAAGTTGCAAAAGCGAGAACAAGGCTGGCAACGTAAACTCTGCATTGTTCGCGCGGGAAATGCAGTCCTCCGTCTGGTCGTGCTCCTGCCGCTCCTGCTCCACCTTTTCAAGGCCCAAAGGAGGTTCTCAGTGGTTTCACGACAACCGGACTGCAAAATAGCTGGCCATGCCGAGCTGCACTGCTGATCTTAAGAGCCTCATCCATTCCTTCCGTTGAAAACAAAAACCGGAGCGCTGAATGAAGGCCTGCTCATCGTTCTCCAGCAGCTCTCGCCGAGCCTGTCGCAGGTCCTGCGTCGCCTGGGAATACAAGCAGCTTTGATACGAAACAGCAAGCATTCCTCTTAAGCTTTCGGATGTCTACTCACGTTGTGGCAAACAGCGTACAAGCGAATGCGCGCCTTTCTGGAGATATAACAGAAAATGTGGATGGAGGAAATCTTGCACCACCTTATACCCTATACCCCAGGAATTACAGTATCATGGGGATTCTATGTGGTGCAAGATTTCCTCCATCCATCGAAGGAAAGCACGATACCTGCCACTTGCAACCGAGAAGGAAAGCCAAGCTTGCACACTGACCTATCTGAATTCTGCCGCGACACCGTTTGCAGTTGGCGTTGCACATTGCCTTTCTCCCACTGGCACAGCAGCAACCGATACTGCAGCTTCCCGACAGTGTTGGCCACCTTAGGGGCTGCGGAAACAAAGGTTTTCGTCACTCCGCTTATGATGCCACGAGTACTTCCAGCCTCATCATTGGCTTGCAGCATCTTGACAGACTCCTGACATGCTTTGCTTTGTGTGGCGTTCTTATCTTGCTGGCTGGAGACCTTGCTTCTTCGGCTGCCTTCCACTACTGATGATCTCCACGCCACGCTTTCGGCAGCCATTGGCAATTCTGTCTTATCAATCAGCATTCCCTCCACCACCCTTCCAGGTCAGCCAGCGTGGACTCTTCTTATTCTTTCTCTCCACATGTAAATCTGTAGCTGGATGAATCCTTGGAATGCTAGGTTGCTTGAACCCAAGGGCCTGCAGGTGCCTCACCTCTTGCTGGCGGCGCTTCACAAGCTGCTCGTAGCTCTCTGCCTGGTCAGCTTTAGCCCACAACCTGGGTGACTGCAACTGATCGCGTGAGCAACACTTGGATGTCTCTCCATCACTCCCTGATTTCAGTCCCGCCTGCGCGGCGCAGACACGCGCCAGGTCCTCCCACATCCGCCAAAATGCACCAAGACACAAGAAATACCACAATCCGGCACTAGGTGTCAGTACACAGTGCAAACTGGATGCCTTGGATTGCTTCAAAGCCAGGCTGGACCTCAGAATCAAAATCTCCAGAACAAATCTCTCATCGAGACAATCCCCAGCCCTTGGCTGGCTCTGTTACTCACTCCAAACTAGACTTCTCAACCCCTTCCAATGCCAAGCCATCTTGCTTTGAGGCTCTGGCTGTTCCACCTGGAACTTGAGCTCCTGGAAACGCGAAGACGCAACCCCGCGTGCGGAAAACTCAAGCGACCCAGCTTCCTACGAATGCAACATTTTAGGAGCTTCCTGGCCGGGGTTTCGAAAGCAACCTAAGAGGAGTAGGCAAGTATTCTCCAAACCACGGATCCTTAATTGGGGAGTTGCTGTAATCCGGCTGCAGCGCATTACACAAGACACGACCTGCTGAGAATCCAAATGAAAGTACCTCACTTTAAGACCAAAGACCTGCATCCCGCAGACCCAAGGCGTAAGCTTCAAACGCATTACATGCAGCGAAGCTGTGGGCGCATTGCTATCCCATGTTCTGCCAGATGCACACTTTATGATTAGGTGATGGATGAGCGAGGATCAATGGCCCAGCCTTTGCAACATCTTGGAAGACTTGGCTATTGCATGCGGGCAGGCCCAAGCAGGCCCATCAAGAGTACAAAGCCTTTCTGGCCGTACAGACGGTTCCAAAATTGGAGAAGTTTGCTTCGTCAAAGGCTGGCAACACAAGTCCCCATGGCACCTGTCAAAGCCAGCGAAGTTTGGTGTCCCGCTGCATTGATGTTTTCTCTGCCCGGTGCATGCTCGAAGCAAGCTGTGGCATAGCAGCCCCGAAACGTTTTAGTGCAAGGTGTTGCACTTCCGATGTCGGTTAGTGGCATGGACCTCACCAGCTACCCACAGAGTTGGCATTCTGCACTTCTTCATCAAAGTTGTGATGCCTTGCCTGCAGTTCAAGGGGTGTCCGGATGTCCTCTCTGCCTTGTGGAAATCACCACCCCATAACATCGTGAAATCGTCGGATCTAAGCATGGCAAAGCGAGAGTGCATTGCTTCGATTTCTAACCAAAAACCCATGTGTTATGGATGTCTTGTCCTGCATAACAGCTCCGCTGTTGAAAGCTCTTCATGTCGCTAAACCAAACTAGTTCATGATCTCGCTCACGAGTGTCCGAGCTGGCTAGCCATTTTTGATCCAGAGAATGACGCTTGCTGCCTGATGCTGTCTAGAAAAAGCAAAGCTCCTCAAGCTGCCGCAGCTTGGGCTCCACTTCTGCCTTTGGAAGCGAAGCATTGAGCTGTGCCTCAGTGGCCAGGAAACACCAGCAACTGTTGAATGTTGGTTGGAAAGTCTTCTGTGGATGTTGTGCCTTTCCTCACCATTCCGGGACATGTCAGCCTGTTGCTGCTATCGTTACTTTTTCGTAGATGTTACAGTAGGTCCTGTGCGCATCTGCAGCTAGGTCTTGCCCCATCACCGGAAGTGGTTTTCATGAGAGCATTGTAATTTTGCGCGACTGCCGAAAACTACAAAACACAAACGCTTGCTTCGCTTGCTTTGCTGGTGCTACTCTTGATCAGGCTGGCAGCATTAACAAAGCACAAGCCTGGCGCCTGGCGCAAGCCAATTTTCCTACCGAATGTGTAAAGGATCCCCATGAATTGTATGCCACACTATCTAGGCCAAGAAGCCACGAGGTTAACCGTCTTGCTTCGCTCTTCATAGAGCTCGGACTCCAGGCGCTGAACAAGGCTGTCCAGCTCACCCACCTCTTATGTCTTATGCGGCAATCCAAGTTTGGGCGCTTGGTGGGGACGTACGGCGAGTAACTTCGGTTGAAGGGATGTTTCCAGAGAGGAGGCTCTCTATTGAGTCCGCACTGCCTGGTTTGTGTTTAGAACCATGTGCGTAGCAAACACCTCTATGTGCGTGCCTGGCGCTGCAGCTCCGCGGCAATGCGATCCTTCGTGCGGACCTCCTGGAGAATAAAACTGTTCCTGAATCTTTCGACGCTGCGTCGACATGACATGCGTCTGCGCAAGCCTTCCATTTCGGATTTCAGGGGCCAGAGGTCTTAAAGGAAGACGCACAACAACTCTCGTCGACCATGTCTTACTCTCAAATTCTAGCCGCCCCTGGCTGCAAATCATCCCTCTGTGGGCAACATCTCAGCCGCTGAGATGCACCCCACAGCGACTGCTCCTGCTCCAGCACAACGCAGCGCCTGTCGACAAGCGATGACAAGGGATGGTGCAGAGTGTGTTTGGCCCAACAAGGGTCTGGGTCGAGTAATGAGGTTTTGGGTTTTGAGGCTGGACCATAATTCCACACGTAGAAAGGGTCAATGTGAGGAGTCTGGACGCATCTCCAATCTGCGGACATGCAATGTGGCACATCTTCCCAGTGCCTGTTTGCAGCATCTGTAAGCTCAGGTGTCCTAGAGTCTAAATTCCTAGTATCCCCCTTAATAAGCCAGTATCCCCCTTAATAAGCCCTATAATACTCCCTTATGTAATCCCCTATATAACCCCCTTTAAGGAGTTTAGACTCTAGCCCATGTCTCCAGCCTGTTCGCCGCTGACTCCCTCGCCTGCGCAGCATGGCAGCGAGCCTCGGGTTCGAAGACTTTGGCCAAAACACTACTACTTACTACTACTACTACTACTACTACTACTATTACTATTTCTTGAAGTCTGCCCGAACGGTAAACATGATAGCATCTTGCACGGCAGCTGAGACTGAGACGTTAATGTTGCACCCGAAACTTAAAAAAATCAGAAGGCAATGGAAAGCGGATTTCCTTACACCAGCCAAAGACTTCTGAAGTTCTGGAATCTAAAAAGGTTTTCCCACGAAACCTCTACGTGACACACGGTAGGTTGACAAAATGGGTCAAACCAGGGTTCCCCCATGCTACGTCCAACAAGACTTAGGGTCTTTGTTATGGAAAGACCCAAGATGGGAGAAAAAACATGAGAGCAGAACTGGCTTCCGGACCTCGAGGTCCGGGGGCGAGGGTGGAGCTGGTACAGCCAGTGCCTCAAGGAAGTGTATGCATAAGGGTTTATAGGGCTCAAGGTTGATCTCCAGATCTTTTGGCGGGATGCCCCTGCCTCTGGAGGCCGCAGCTGCAGATGTGCTCGGCTTAAGCCCCGCTCCATTCGCTGCGCGAAGTCCTACAGCGGATCTGCATGGTGCAAGACAGCGTCTCAAAGCAACTTCAGCCAGCATCAAATCACAACGCCGCCGAAACAAGAGAGCCCATCTGCACAATGCTATTCACACGTCTCGAAACATTCCATGTATCGCAGGGTATATGACCACATAGCATCAAATTGATATTGCCGGAGGGCCAACTGTGCTTGAAACAGCAAATCTCCTGGTAAAGGATTCGCAGCCTTTGGATACGAAGTCGAAATTCTGGCTCCTGCCGAAAAGCAAGGAGATCATTGGCTCTACAGCAACAGAAAGAGCACAGCTTTTGCAAAACCCCCAGGTTCAGCAGGAAACCATAATATATGAATCAACCCAACCACAGCCTTGAGATCCTAGAGCATGGAAAGGTCCAAACAGAGAACTTGGCTGTGCCCGGCAAGTCGGCACCTGCTCATCGCCCGGACCCGGCAGCTGGGCCGCTGGCAGCGCCTCTTCGAGGCTTTGGGCCTCCACGGAGCAGAAAGTGCCGTGCGTCTGGCTGCTGATGCTTGGAGCATGCCTTCATATTTCTGTGTTGCTGCCGTGGACAGATAATGATCTACCCTTTTGGATTTGCGATACTCGGTATGGTTGTCGAGGGCAGAATAGATGGAGAAGGTGGTGATGGCATGCTGAAGCTTCTTCGAGAGAAGTCCGTGGACGCGCCATACATCTTTGAAGCGTTCAGGAGCTGCAGAAGAGGCGAGGCACCTCAACTCCCAGCCACTGCAGCACTCTTCGAAGACTGCTCAGTGGCAGCTGATTGGCCGGGACCTATCAGGCTCTGGCACATCAGAACAAGACTAGACTGCGTCTTAGACTCTTGGCCCTGCATGCATAGTGATGGTCAAGACATGGGACTTTCTGGTGGATCGTTGGACATGAACAGCTCCGTATGATTGGCAACGTGCCTCGTAGGATGCAAGAACAGCCAGCACATCTGCAGCTGCTATGTCACCCTGGGAGAGTCACTGGTTGGGCTATCAAATACAATGTGTTTGGCATGCATGCAAATTCAATAACTGACCACTGCACACATCTACATACTACAACTCGAAGATTCGCAACCGGAATGTCTCAAGGTGGCTGCTCCCTCGTCTGCAGGAGACTTTTCAGGCGCCCAGTGCAACTGCTTTTGCAGAGGACCTCGTGAAATTGCATCTGCAGCCCATAGAAGCCCAACTGGGAGACTGTACCCCAACAAAATCTGCAAGCAATGGTTATGGTGAGACAAGCGTTAAAAATGAAAAGTGATCGCTGCGTTCGGCCAATTGGCTCAAAGCAGAAGCTCCAAGATAAGTGCCAAGCAACAGCAAGAAAAGTCCTGATGGGAAATCCAGAGCAGACTGCCCTAGCGCATGCTCCACGTCGGAAACCTATTTTACAGAAGTTTATTAAGACGCCTCCACTAAACACACTCCTGCGGTCGCCCTTGCAACACTTCAAGCAAGAAATCAGGGGCACCGTTCTCACGAGCCAAGTCTATAGCCGTCTTCCCGCGATGATTCATCAAGTCCAGTCGAGCATTAGCAGCGACGAGCGCAGCTGCTGCATCGAAGCAGCCACAAACAATGCAACACATCAGCGGAGTCGCATGCATGTGGTGGTATGCATAGAAGCTGACCTCAGCACAACAGCCTCTCACCAGCGCAACATAGCGAAAACAAGTTTACGAATGTACTCCGAATGGACCAATGCAATCGAGGTGCAGCTGTCGGCTTCCAGCGGTGTCTGAAGCTGAGGTAGGTGAAAGCTAGCCCGAGCGGACTGAAGCTCGGCAGGAGCAGAGGATGGTTAATGTCGGCACCGGCACGTATGAGGGCAGACACTACCTCCTCCGAGGCACCAGCAAATAAAATACTGTAGTGCAAAGCAAAGTTGATCTCTGCCTGTGGCGCATCGCGGAGCAGAACCTCAATCACATCCTTGGACCCACTGCCTGTGCCCGCGCCTCCTGCCAGCATGCAAGGAGAGTGCGACAGTTTGTTCTTGATGGAAATGCTTGCTCCGGCATTTCGCAGGATCTGCACGGCCTCCACGTTGTGGTTTACGCAAGCATAATGCATCGCCGTCGCACCAAAGCCATCTAGAGCATGTACATCTGCCTTGTGTTCCAGGAGCAGCCTCAACGCCTCGTGGTTCCGCAGGAACACGCACATCGTAAGCAGGGAAGCCCCTGTGGTCATGAAAAGCCTCTGATCGCTCTTGGTGATCGAATCGCTAGGATCTGCCTTCCTCTCCAGCAAAGATGATATCAACATTGGATTCCCTCCCAACGCTGCATAGCATATCGGTGTCCATCCGGCTTCGTCGCGATCTTGCACATCTTCAAAACCGTTCTGGTACATGAAGTTCTCAAAGAAGAACGCTCCAGGATCCATGGTGTCGCTCTTAAATCCAGGAATGACACTGTCCAGCGGCTCAACTGGCAGAAATCTGAAGTGAACGCGCTGCAGGTTGAAAAGAACTCGGTAACTATGAAAATTTCTACGTCGCAAGTGATATGTCAATTTGTTTTGAAAAATCCTTCGCACGACGCCAGCGGCCTTTGCACGATCTGACTCGACGGTAAATTCTCCCTCTCCCACAGGCTCCCGGATATACTCGTAGGGAATTGTCAAGGTTTGAGACTTGGCGCTTTGGATTTCAATCAGGTGCCTGCTCTCGAGCATGCTCAGCTGACTGGCAAGGCGCTCTAGTCGGCACCATGCACGCGTTGCCCACGTCCTGGATTGTTTTCAAGGTGTTTTCGAGCACGCGGCTCTACTTATAGTGAATCTGTTGTTCTTTTTCTACTCCTTCGTCTTGGCATTGTGTTTTTATTCTAACCAGACTATGCCTGAATTTGCGGATGCTGTTGTGCTTGTTTGTGGTGATGGTGATGATGATAATGATGTTATGACTACGATGATGGTATTGATAAGAATCACAATGTTGCTGTTCATGACAATGCTGATGACGACAATCTCGTTCCTTCTTCCGTTTTTCTTGAACATCTACTTCTGCCTTCTGCCTGTTGTTCTCGCTGCTTCTGAGACTGCTGGGACAGTTGAAGCCCTCACCCACCACTGCTACTGCTGCTAATGCTGCTGATGCTGCTGCGGCGGCGGCTGCTGCTGTGGCTGCTGCTACTGCTGCTGATGCTGCATTCGTTCCCTGCTTCAGGTGTGGCTGTTGATGAAGCTGGCTTCGTAAGACTTTACAGCTCTGTGACGTGGCATCGTACGCATCGGCCCCGAAGTGCAAAGCTACGACTTCTAGACGTGGGAAACATCATAACGTGGCTTTGGCAGGAATCCACTTCCGGTCATCGATTCAAAGCAAATGCCACCGAGCTATCACAGAAGTTGGGTAGAGCCTACCAACTTTAGCTCCGATTCCGTTCTGCCAATAACAACCAACCCACCATCTAAGGCCAACATCATGTTGCAACTAAAGTCCTTTTGCACAAGAGCTCTTCCGTGTCTGCATGGCGGACATACGGGCAAAGGATGAAGAAGTAGCGCGACTTCTCTACATAGGCTGGAATGCTGTCCAACGCCTTCTGCTGGTCCGTGGCTTGGAGCCCTGCAACTGAGAGTTGCAGCTGTGGCACGCACCAATAATCGAACCAAACCACAAGCGGCTGGGCATGCATCTCGCTGGCTTTGAGACCAGATTGCTCACCAAACAGTATCTCCGTTGCTGTGTCCACATGAACCCTGTCTCGGCCTTTAAGCATGTGCGTCAGCGCATCTTGCAGAACTGCCAACTGCTCCCCTTTGGGGTCAGCATGCTGCGTGCCAGACCACTCATGCGAGACAAAGATTGCATGGCTGCCAGCCTCGTCGAAAAGGACCAGTGACCCCTCGGCCAGCAGCTCTTCATACGACTTCACCTCCTTCATTTGAAGGACAATCTCCACGGGGACCACATACATCGGAAACAGTATGTCAAAGCTGGAACTTCGCCGCATTTTGCCTCAGGAGGCAACACATACAGGAATCTGGTCGTGCAAGCCGAAAGCTGTTGATCACCCCCTGCGGATCGGATACAGTACTGGTCACACAACCACAACACCGACTCTAGTTTTGAAGGAATCTTTAAAAAGCTGTCAAGGAGCCAAGGCACTAAGACTCTCTGCATGATCTGCTAGAGCGGCTGAGGGCGGCGCAGGTGCTGCTTTGTTGCAGCGGAATGACGACATCATTCTTGAAAACACAAGTTGACCCAAGCGGCCAAGGAACTCTTGAAAGAAATCTAACTAACACATCTATCCATTCCTCCAGAATGAATGGACTCCTTTTGAGCCTGCTGCGCCGGGGCCGAGCTGCATTAAAGCTTTAGCTAATTCCTAATTCCTCAGCTCGTCGGCAGAAGGCTAACTTACCCGGCCTGAGCATTCCGCAGTCGCAGGAAGCTGTTCCGCAAGACCTGCTGAGCATCTGGCCTGGGACAGGGCTGAAACACGACAGACATCAAGCAACTGCAGGGTCTCGCGATCTCAAGACCCCTGAAACCTGGCAACTCGTGATTTGTCCACTGTTGGAGGCAACTGGTGTGCGGGCTGTTTGCTCGGGTGGGGCACCTGCGCAGGATCCCTAGGGACAGCTTTCAACAAAGTCAGAGCACCACAGATTACGTCTGGGCCTTTTTGATTTGCGCACGTTGAGACCTGAAAGCCCAGTTGAACCCTAGGGCTTTGCAACGTCCAGATACGTAAGAACAAGAGAAGCCCAGTATTTGCAAGAGCAAATCAGCCCAGGAATGTGGTAGGGGACAGTCACGGGCCAGCAAATGCGCTTTGCTCAGGGGAGGTTCTACATGGTTCTACGCACCTGCCTTGACAGTGCAACCATCGAGGAAAAAGACACAACAACTCCTGCATTCCTGGTATCTCCTGTCGAGTGACTGGTCCGGAAGACGGAAGAGAAGCGCCTGGAAAGATGCCCAGAAGAGCTCCTGCAGCGTTGGGCACTGCAGTCTTCAGTGTTCACGCACTGTTGTTCTGGACATCTAATGCCCTCAGGGAAATGGCAAACCAATGCAGCATCTTGAAAGCTGTTGCAACAGGGAAGCGACATTACTGAGCGCGCTCAAGCCTGAAGTAAGGCTTGTTCCCTGCTATGTCGCTGCTGTGGCAACATGTGGCAACTGTCTTGACCTGCAGTCATGGCACCCAGCCGTTTCAGTCATTATCACGCAGCCTTGACAGGAGCAGGTGCCCATGCACTAGAGAGAAACCTTGCTGCTTGTCTGCTTGTGGAATCTCCTCCGGCTCCAGGGACCGGAGCCCGTAGAGCCTAACAGTAGCTTGCGGCTCAGTGTAGCTCAACGTGGGTCAGTATGCTGGCTGCTCGCAGGCTACGGCTGCAAGCACTGCAGGCAAACCAAGCTTTTACCCAGAACATCTGCATTGCATATGCTGCACAGCAAGGCCAGGCCTGAATCGGCCGACAACGCCCAGGACGGAGACGCTGACCTCTGGAAGACTCACATGTTGCGCAAAGCAGGCACTGCGCACACTTCCCCACTTTCCCTGCATGTGCCTGGTCTGCCGCACTTAGCTGTGGCGGGGCAGGCGGGCTCGGAACACCTCTGCGCGGAATGCCACCTCCCTCTTCCACGCATAGACAGAATGTCGAGGCTTGCTTGGCCTGTAGAGTTTCTGTTGGCAGAGGTTTGCTCAAATAGCTCTTTCACATACTTCCCCAATCCCCATCCCAGGCACCCTTCAAATCACATCCCTGCCCTTGCCTGGGGCGCTGGGAGGCCTTGGAGGCGCAGGGGCTGCTGCGGCCTGTGCGCCATGCAGGGCTTCGGCCAAGAGCTGGAGTTCATCGTCCTGGAAAAGGAAAGTCGCTTGGGGATCACAAAATCCTGTACAGACCAGAACTCTGACTTCCACTGTTCCGTGCATCAGAAGTCCTTGATCTTGATGGCAAGGCCTCAGCGCTCTCCACAAAACCAACAAACCGCAAGGAGCCAAACCACATCTTCTTTCTTTCTGATGTATCCTCTCTCTGTCTCTCTCACTCATCTGTCTCATCTTGAAGCAAGCTTCTACGCAGGCACATGAGACTTCTGTGAAGCCAAGAGGCTACACCATACGCTTGCAACAGTCTAATTTATCCCAATCGCTCTCAAAGAACTTGCGGAGGTCGCTGAGAGTGATGAAGCCGTCATTGTTCACGTCGAACTTGCCTCGGCGAGGCAGCTCTTGCAATTCAAGACATGTGCAGGGTAACCGCCTCCCTGTAAGAACCAGCAACCCACATGTTATTTGGTGGTTTTCTCCCACTCTCTGCACAGTGGCGCAACTTCTCGTCCAAGGAGGCTTCGACGTTTGTGGCAACCCCAGCCTAACATTGTTGCCATTGTTGCCACGCCAAAGCGAAAGAAAGCGTCCCAACAGTGTGACTCTCAGTCTGCAGGTTCAGCATGCAGTTCATGGCATCGCTGCAGCATTCAAGAAAATCCCGCCTCGAAGCCAAGACCTGCGACACGCGCCTGAATTCAACACTGATGCGACTGTGTTGCAGGACTCCAATGGATGACACTCTACCAACAAGCCAAACGCCTTTCCTGGGCACTTCACGGCACTCGGCACGAATGACAAGAAGACAGCTACGGTAAGCAGGAACTCACGCTGAAGATGCACCTTCCGACCTCAAAGAGACTCCACCACATGCTGAAGGAAGGGCCTCCGCGAGTCCGAGGCTTCTGGCTGCAGCCTGGCAGTGCCAGGTGCGGCCAACAACAGTTTCCAGGGCCTGTCATTGCTTGCAAAAGGTCCCACAGCTGTTTAGAATGGTACTTGTCAGTATATGAACTCTCTCCATCCACGTCCCAGGGAAGTCGTACCCGCAAAATTCAAAGAAAAAATCGGGATAGATCTAGTTGGGTGAATCTCATAGCCACTGCACATGGGAGCTTTACTGTCTTTGTAAAGCCCGATTGAGTCTTCCCCTGCATTAGGAAAGAAAGTCTGGCTGGCCGGCCTCAAAGCTCCCTACGAAGCCCAGAGTCCGCTGCAGTTCCTCCAAATGCAGGGCAGAATCCAAAATAGAGGCGAGTAAGTTGCAGCTTTGGTGCCCTTGCCGAGGTCTTGGGGAATTCAGGTTTCGGCCGGCCGGGCTGAACAGCATCATGATCACAGCAGCTACAAGTAAGAGGTCACGGCATTGCCCATGCCAGCTGAGAAATGGACAACATGTTCACACATGGGATTTGGTTGAAGAGCCCCAGACACGTCAACATCTACGGATTGAAGGTACTTCACCCTTCCAATGCAGCTTTGCGACGGCAGTCAAGCGGGTGAAGAGAGCCACCTGTCAGGGGAGCAGATCACTGTTTGAGCTCAAGTCCACCATCCTCTTGACCCTGCTAGCCCATGCCAGTGACCCCAAAACCTCGGCTGCAAAACGAGGCTCACGGAGCTGAAGACGACGCCGAAGCACCGTGAACTCCTGACTGACACAGAATGCTGCAGGGCCAAACAACAAGCATCGAGGCGTTTGGCCCAGAGAGAACACTCGCAAAAAGGTGACACAGCCTGTCGACATCCGGAATTGTTTTTTCTGAATTTGAAGGTTTGCACCTGGACCTGAACGACACCCAGACTGCTTTGGAACACGTGAGTCATGCTCCCGTTTCCTGTTCGGTCTCGCGCACAAGATGATCCAAGTTCCGGCCTCAGAACAAGAACGCTGGGCCTGGCTACTGCTCCTGGCTTCTCCTTGATTCCAGCTGGCGTCAACATCTGGAGCATCCAATTTCGCCAAGATGCAGCGGTCTTGGAGATCCATCACCTCCTCAGGCCATTGAGAAGCCCACAGCTTGAAAGGTCTGGCCCTGCTCGGACTGCCCTCTCATGCTCCGCCAAGGTGCTCTCAGCTTGTCTTCCTGTTGCGCCACCTTCCTTGGACTTGGACCCGTGTCCATCCGTGTCCAACATTGCCATTGTCAGCCATGCAGCTAACAGGCAAGATTCTTCAAACGCTGACATTGGAACCGTTTCAATCCTCATAATATACCATTTGCAAGACTCTCAACACTCTGAGCAGAAGCCAGGGCTCAAGGTCAGCTCTGTCTGTCGCCTGGAAAGATCAAACTCGCGCTGGCGGCACACCTGGTGGATCTGAGGGTCAGATGCACCATGTTGCATGGGAATTTTGTGGCAATGTTCTTCGAAGACTCGCTTGCAACTTCCAAACGTAAGCGCTGAGCTTAGAAGCCCCATGAAGCATAGCTGTTAGTGGGTTCTGAAGACTTCACGGTGACAGCTGTCTTCGATAGCAGCCGGCCTGCCTAATGTAACCACGTGAAAGTGAAAGCACACAAGCATGCAGCTAGTTACAAGACAAGTGTGAACTTACTGTGAAGCCTTCTGCCAAACGGCTTCCTGGAAGCAACCTCTGTTGCTCAGACATCCCCATCGGACCTGCAGCTCCTGCTGCACCCGCTCGTAGTCCGAACTTGCCTTTGCTCAGCATGAGGTCATGCAGTTACGAGGCATCGCAACGCTTGTTCCTTACGTGACCTGCCGTGAAAAATGCTAACAGGTCCAACCAAAAACTTCACGAATGCAGTTCCCCCAACCCTTCCAGGTTCAGATCGCAGTGATTCAGAGTGATGTGGTCTTAGGAGTTTGCAGGAGATAGCATGACAAGGTGCCACCATTGACTGGAGCTTTCGCCGTGATATGCGCAGGGCGTTGGCTCCCCGCCTCTTCCACAAAACCTTGGCTCTCGCTTTAGAGAAATCTGCTGCGAAGACAAACCTGCACAGCAGTTTAATTCGCTCGCAGCGTCGCCCTACGATGGAAGGGTCCACTTCACGTGTCTGCTGAATCCTCCGCCATCTTATGGACACCTTTCGTTGTGGAAAGTCTGAGACCAAGAGCCCTCCGTGCCCTTGATGAATGCTTCCAGGAAGCAGCCTTTGACAAGCGCTCCTTGAGAAAGCCTGACCGTCAACACTGGTAGCGGCAGAAGTAAAACGTTTTGTCGCATCATTGCCCTGTCAAGTCATGGCAGCGGACGATAGCCTTGCCCTGTCAATCATGGCATGGTTAACAACAATGCGTGCAACCCACCACAACTAGAGGCCTTCCCGCTCGCAGCAGTCTTTCTGCAAGTTGTCGAAAGCCTGTGCAGAGCCGGCCCTCCCTCCCGAGGGCTCAAAGCAGACTTGCAGACGGCTAGCTGCCATGACCAATCATATCATATATACATATATATATATAGTAGCTTCCATGTCATGTTGCATTTTCTTTTCCATTTGATTCTCCATTGCTATGGTATGATCACAAGTTCACTCCCAGCCATGCCTGGCCTCCTTCACAATGGCGTGGCCCTGCCTTTCAGCCTCCACCTTGCGAGACAGCACCTTGGAGGACGGGCACAGAAACTGTAGTCTGCTTTTGCCAACTGGCTTCAGCCCCTGCTCCAGCTATCAATATGAACTCGCCATTGCTTCACTCAACTGGTACTGCCCCATCACCAGAGGGCATGTGATGTACCCCAAAATGCGTTCAGACTGCAGAAGATGCATGAACACCCTAGGGCCCCGACGCTCTCATTCTGCTCCAGGGCCGCTATTCGGCCCATTGCAGACACAAGCTCCTGGAAACAGTCTGGCCAACATCTGCATGCCCCGCCAGTTTTCGTACAATCTGCACACCAAAACCCTTCCCATGCCTACAACAAATCCTCGCCAAACCAAAACCCGTCGCACGAAGGGCATCATGATCATCTGAGCCCTGGTCTAAACTCCTATAGTATCCCCCTTAATTAACCCCTACAGTAATCCCTTATGTAATCCTCTATATAACCCCCTTTAAGGAGTTGAGACTACAGCTCACGTGGCAAAGCAGGATCAATGCTGGTTTCAGAAACCTCTGATTCCTGGCCTCGCGCAGCTCCGGTGCTGAGCCGCCCTCGCCTAGGCGCTGCCTGGGCAAGGCATCCGACCAGCATGTTTCATGAAGTTCGAGAGCTTGAGGTTTGGAAATTCAGGCTTTGGGATTTCGAGTTTAGGAGTGTGGAGGTTCGGAGTTTGAAGTTTTGGGTCTTAAGGTAGCGTAACCACCCGTCTTTTCATTCAGGAGGGGTGTTGTGGTCTTTGGCCCGTTGCACCCGTCTGGGGGCCGGAAAGAGTCGGGGGCTGAGGCGTTGGGCGTTAACATGTTGTAGGTATCGCTGCTGCTAATAGACGTACTCAGCTTTGATGCTGCCATCACTATTCTTGCCATTATGACCACCTTGAGTCATGCGACCATGATGAGACGCTGATTAGTTTTGATATGGACTGGACGTTAAGGCTACGCAAAGACCGCATTCCGAGCTGTACTGAATTCGACCGCAGCCCCAACGTGTCTGGATCCAGGCATTCCCGCCACTACTGGGGGAACACAAAGTGGGATCTCCACTGCACGCGCGGTGTCTATGAGTGCGTGGGTCAGCTTGCAAATTTCATTACGAAATTGCAAACACCTCAAACTTTCTGGAGTCCTTTGCTATGTCCAAGCCAAGGCTCCAGGTGCGCATCTGGCCCTCCTGGATCTCACACTTCTTTTGGCTGTCCTGAGAGTTTGGACCCGTGAATGCTTCCTCCGCACTGCTTCGTAGCGAATGAATAGGGCAAGGGTTTTAGACCGCATCCAAGGGGCCGTCAGCAAGTCTCCCTGAAGCCGCAGACCTGAGCTGTGTCCTCTCTGGATGCTCGCACACAACTTTTCTGAGTGTCCCCGAAACTTGGACAATGAGGGAGTGACCCTAAAAGGAGCGTCCGCTGCTGTGATAAACCTTCAACATCCGCCCGACCTTTTCCAATGTTTGCAAAGCCCAGGGGCGCTCTTCAAGACCGCTGGTGGTCGCCTCAGCTTGGGCTAGCGTTTTCCATGTAAGTCATGAATAACCCGTATCCTTAGTATCCTTCCATACCGCAAAGACATAGTCCTGATTCTGGGAACCACCAGAAACAGACTCATTTTTATCCAGCTTGGTATCTTTGGAAGGTCCCTGTCTTGGGGACACATTCATGTCTAAAAGACAGGTTGACATCTGTGCTGCACACATACCGCATTCTCTTCAACAGCCTTCAGCAAAACTTACAATGACTTACAATGTGATGGGATCTTCTGATCCTCAAGAAGACAATGTCGGCAGTTTGACTGTGGCCGCCCAAAGCAGGTGATTCTCATACAAAACCAAAAACTGCTCAAAGGAGCATCAAAAACGCTTGAAAGCGCCGCAAAGGTGAAGCCAACTCAACTCTCATCCCCGTGCTCTGCAGCTGTCCCAAAGTACTACTCTAATATCATATAATATAAAATACTATAATGTCTTATAATATACTACACTGAACTTCGGCCCAGTCACCTGCCACTCCTCGCGTTGTGCGAAATAGTCCTTGTGCTGCGAATTTCCATGTCGCTGCTTCTCACACAACCACCAGCACTTGCTCATGAAGCTACTGCCCATGGATGGCAGAGCCACAACCTTGAATGAACTCTGTACCCCAGACCGAGAACCTAATAATTCAGCTTGGTGAGGTCCTGGCCTTGTACAGCACCTCCTGCTCGGCAAGGAGACGATCGAACCTCTGAAGGTAGGACGTTCGAATGCCCTACCATCCTTCGGTTAAGAACCTCCAGCTCCAAATCCCAAACCCCACGCTGACAAGCTCTTTCACCTCATGCTTGAACCTAGGACGTTCAGCTGGACTTTCCAGACTTTCCAGGCCCTACCATCCTTCGGTTAAGCTCATGCTTCGCGGCCTTTCTTGAAAAGAGGAGACCTCTTCTGCGAGGCTTTCCCGCAAGAAGCGCTCGCGAGTCAGCTCCTACAGGCACTTGGGCTCTGGAATCTCATACAGAGCTACATCAAAAGCTGGTAAGTTCATGGTTTGCTAATTTGTGGTTGAGTTCCGGGCTTGGCAAGATGAGGATTGCTGGTAAAACCGTGTGGAAGCTAGCTAGCCTGCACCTCGCGCTCATATTTGAAAACCTCGCCTTGACTGCATATTGCTGCTGCTCTTTCGGGCAACTTCAACTTCTCTATCCTCATTAACTGGTCTAATGCCGCTCGAACACGAAGGGTGCATGCACTCGTGAGCTCGAGCATGCTCAACAACACATCCAGCCATCGAAAGTGCAGAGGGGAATGCAGAACAATAAGGAAAATGGTCGGCAGTTTGACCACTTCAGGATTCTTGGGCTGAACCTCTCACCCTACAAACTGCCTCCAAGGCTTCCACCACTTGGCAGTAGAGCGAGCAGACCTGGGCTGGAAGATGCCCCTCCCGGTCTCCAACTCCTCTGCGAAGCCCAAGATTGGTTGAACCAACCCAACGTGTCAGGACGGGGCAGTTTCCTGCGAACCATCTGAAAGCTCGCCGGGCCTTGATGGAAAGCCACATTGCAGCACATTTTGACTGCTTGCAGCAGTTGAAATAGCCCATGCCTTTGTTTCTCGAAACATGCGCTGTAAGCCCGTGGCAGTTGGAGTACAGCCTGTCATGATTGCTGCGCGCTCTTCACACTACGTAGCAAACGTTGCTTCACATAAGCAATGCTGCACCCTGCTTCAGGTCGAGAGTCTCCGAAGTCCTTCACAAACCAACGGCACCACGCACAGTGCCTGTAGCAATGATGACCAGACCATCGGCTGCATGCCAGGGATCTTGGGAAGTACCTTGGGCTACCAGTAGTAGCCCCATGCTCAGCAAAGGCTTTTTCCGGAAAAACCTAATAGAACACCCATGAACTCCAGATCAAGTGAGGCCGCGGCTGCTGGAGCACTGAGACCTGGCCAGACAGCAGGGACATGTCGGTACCAGAACCCAAGCAACGAAGCCCACGTCTGCCTCGGCCAGTCGGTGGAGGAGGCGCTATGCCCGGGGGCAGCGGCCGCACAGCCCCGGCGACAGCGCCTGACACGAAGATACTCCAACAGTCGAGTTTGAGACCCGGTACACCAACAAGAAGGTGCCTGGAGGCAGTGGCGGCCGCATGGCCGGGCCAGGAAGCCTCAGATCTTCTGTGGAACATGAGCAGAACATGCGCAACTGGTCGCACGGGGCATGCATGACCAATTTTTGCGAGTAAGGCTGAAGCCGCCCAACCAGCTGCTCCAAAGCTTGCGGGCCCTGCCACCACCGTTACTTGAGCTTGGTGGTCCAGGGTGGCATGATGTGGCATGGTCCAGGTTTGGAGCTTCCAGCTCACAGCTTACCAAGGGCACGGAGAGGGCAGTTTGGCCAGCAGAAAACATAGTTGGGCTTTGCAGATATTATTTTGAGCCCTATCTGTGACTCAAGCGAAGCCGGGCATACCGGATACCCGCAATTTCCCAACTGACAAGGATCCCTTCTGCCCAAGTCCTGGAGCGTGACCAGCTCGGCATATCCTGTCTTGTACGCCTTCGGTCGCAACTTGCGCTAGTTGTCCCAGGTTTCAGAATGATCAAGCACACGACAACGACATGCTACAGCGGTCGCTCAAGCGGGGGATTGTGAGCAATTCTCCCAACGCCTCCAAAGACGACTGGAGCATCTCCTTGTCCTGCGCGTGCTTTGGCTGCGAGAACAGCTGACCGAACTACTTGTACTCGATTAAGCCGCAAGTGGCCAGGGGAGCGAGGGAGGGAAAGATGCAGGCGCTCCTTCTCCAAAGCCGCCACCTTGGCTTCGAGGTCCTGCCAACCACGATTGACGTAACAACCACAATGCGTCCTGACTGAATTTCAAGCCTGCTTCAGATCTCAGCTCTTTATGGACCTGCATTGAAACCGGCAACTGCTCGCAGGGTCCTTGGTGAGGCCCTGCTTTTTGAGGACCTCCTCCACCTTCCTTGTCAGCTTGGGAGGGAGATCAGGCGTTTTGCTGTAGAATGCAGCACTGGCGGTGGCAGCACAAGACGTGGTGGTTGTTGCTGCCCGTAGCAGGAGTTGTGATAGTCTGCAGTATTGAATGACAACTAGGATGTCAATGCAACAATTGCTTTCCTGCAGTTTCGAATGCCACCACTAATCTGACTACACCGTGGCCGAACAAAATCCGCTTAGTCACATACTCTTCCTACCTTGAGGCTCCATCACGCCATCACAGGCATCATAGCAACCCTAGCCATAAGACGCATCAGATTCATCTTCAGGGTCATTAAACAGCATCGTCCACCATGATGTCACGCTTTCTCAATGGTTCAATCGCACACGCTACTTAGGCTTAGGCCTGTCCACGTGCTCGGCCACCTCACGATCCTTCATGGCCAGCTTCTTGGAAAGCTCATCACGCTCCTGCCGCTCAGCCGCTCAGCTCCAAGGGTGTTGCTTCGGTGTAGGCATGCTGCTTCTTCAGAGGCAGAGGGGGAAGCGCCAGTGCCTGGCCTCCTTCAGCTGTCGGCTTTGATCCTTCCAAGTCTGTCAACACAGGCAGACGTTGTCTCGACATAAGACTACTCCCGCGCTGCATTGTAGACCGTCATCACCATGTAACTCCAACCAATCCGTCATGGCTCATTTCCAGCACCTGCTAAAATGCAAGCGAGTCTCGTCCAGCGGCAACTCCAACTTCCCCTTGCGCATGCGGGCTGCGATCTCCTCGCCAAGGCGCTATAGCAAAGCACTTTCCCGTGCATATGGAAAATAACCGCAGATACCAACAAGCATGCGCCAATCCTCTAACTGCAGCATCTGCTCAGGCTGCAGGTTGTGCAGGAGTGACACTTTCCTGGCAATGTCAGCATGACTGAGATGGAACCTGCTTCTGCTAGCCTGCAGGGTTGCAACAAGAAAACGCACATGAGCCTGGCACCCCCATCATCCCAACTATAACCACTTCTGCTACCACGGCTTTCATGATTCAACTCAGCTTTAAGTATTATGGGCTATTTTCAAAATCATGGGCCTCTTTTGCTTCACAAACATATTACGGCACTTGATATTTACGGGTACCAGAATGGGACCCTAATTCTGGGAACTACCGCTTCTACGCAGGCGAGGAGCTCTGCCGCTAGCTCGGACAGCTGTCGCAGGCGCGCCTGCCCAGAGGCTAGGTATGCGAAGACATCCCCAAATACACAACCTCCAGGCCATCTTGATGGACTCAAGAATTTCAAGGCTGAGAGAGTTGTTCAAGATTCCCTGGGCATATCCCTTGAGCGCCAGTTCTTGAAGTCTTAAGCCAGGAAGGTCCTGGCTGCATGTCATTGCGTGTTTAGCCGAAGCCCAGCCTTCAGCTTCCCACGTTCGGCTTCCAGCTCGGCCACCTCTTTCTCCATTTGCTTCACCTTCTGCCGGACCCTTCCGCGCCCAGAAACTATACCAGGCCCACTTTAGCTCACCCCCTTTGCGGACCCATCTACTACAGGGAGACTTTCTGAGTAGTCATGCCAAGGTACAGCGGCCACCGCTTTGGCTGAGGTCACTTTGTCCTCAGAATGCGATGAAGCACGTATCAAGCTTATTCAAGCTTCACTCAAGGTTTCCCAAGAAGGGTCAAACCGGCAATTGTTGCTGAAATCTCAAGAAATCAGTTCCCAGGCCTTCAGCTTGAAGTCCTTCAGCTTGAGTTGCTCTGGCTTCCTTAGATGGGAGGAGCTGTCTGGTTCCCACAGCTGACTGTTCCTTCTTTGGGATAAGCCTACGGATAACTCCCATGGAGCATCTTTGGGTGTTACGTCCTGAAAAATGAAGCCTCATGTCTATGTGCCCATCAGGGACTGTGCTTGGGGCTGATCGCAATTTTTCGCAACCCCTGGCAAGTCTGTGAGGTGTGTGTGAGAAGCTCGTGTGGCATGACTACGAGCTGATGCACATAGGCCGTTCAGAGGTGGATTCTGCAAAAGAACGAAACGGGCGTCGGGCATGTGGTTACGACAAGGTGCACGTTGGCAATGCTGCGGAGGAGATCGTTCTCATAAACGATGTTGGCAGCCTTTTCGTATCCAAGTTTAGCGGAGCCATTGTCAGTAGTCATGAGCGGAGTTAGGGTAGTTCAGGGATGATCAGGGCAAAACCTCCTCTCTGAGGCTTTGAGATTTCAAAGCTCCCAAGCGGGAATCCCCACTGCAGATGCCACTGGCAGACGCACTTCTTGACCAAAACCCTACTCAAGCTCAACACCATGGGTCGCCTGTTGCCGTCACCTCGTGCAAGTTGCAGAAGGCTGGAAGCAGAACCAGGCCTCCGAGAGATAGTTGGCGAGGTCCCGTTTTGCCTCTCCAACCTGCCACAGCCAAGAGAAGCGCTTCAATTCAGAGATGATGTCGTGCTCAAAATCACCACGCAGAAAACTGGAACTACTTTTTCCCCTACGCGTTCTGTCAAAACCTGTCAACAAGCTTCACTCTTACGCAAAGCTAGCGTGATGATTGCTACCACAAGATCCACCTCTCCATGTAGCAGGCATTTAATAGGTCTCCGCAGCTGATGGTGAGCTGACTATGTGTGGGTTTCGACATCCACCAGTATATGGCACGGACAATTCTTAGCCCAGGCATTCCCAGAGCCTGTCGCTTCATGTCGGAGTTCTGGCGAACAAGCTCCCTGTTCTCGGCGACCACGGCCTTGCATGTGCCATGTACAATAACTCGAATTGACACAGAGGATTTACTAGGAAGCCTCTGTCACACCCAAAACTCCCACTTGCTCAACTCATGGCCCACAAGTTGCCAAAAACTGAGCCAGCCTCAGATTAGCACAAGCAGACCCTTCTGCTGACCCAATCCCATTTAGATGTGTCAGTGAGAGCTACTCAGCTGCTACTCTTGCCAGGCGCCTCTGCTCCGAGGCTCTTTGCGAGCTGCTCCAACTTCTTTTCTGCATCCAGCAGGCGAGCATCCTGACTGTAGTTTACTTGCAAGGACGAGTCTTGTAAGTGCAAAGAGCATTACAAGTCTCAACACCCTACACATTGACAAGATGCTCTTCAGTATGTGATCTGCACCTGTCAGATTTGTGAACGTCAGAAAGACAAGGGCTTTGCTGCGCAGCTGCACCCCAGAAAAAAACTCTCCGGAAACAAGCCCAGGGCCCTCCTTCTCCAGGGCATCTGCCTTGAAGTGGCGAAGTCGCTCCTGGGTCTGCATCTTGTTTGCAGAATAACAAAAGGACATATAGTTACATATGTGGCTTAAAGCCGACATCCCTGGATTGTGAAGGCGGATGAAAGAATTACAATTTGGCACGACGGAAGTGGGACCCATTCATGGCAGCCCAAGGTCTTCACTCTGCAAGAAAGAAGCCAGGTAGCTGCCCTCCAAGGTATCTAAATGGTACCTTCTAATGCTGCGCCGTGTTGTCAACATTTATTGGCACACAAGAAAGACCGAGACGAGCGAAAGCGCCCTACATTCTGGACGAAAACCTGAAAAACAGCATGAACAAGCATGTAAGCTTGGTCACCATGATGTTGATCGCCGTTGTCTGCTGAGCTTTTATCCAGTTGGCTTTAAGCTGCGGCTCCCTCAAGAATCTTGCTTCTGCACTCCTCGTACTGGTCCTGTGCGGTCTGGTCCAGGCCGCCGGAAATCTGAGCACCTGCAATCAATGTGAAGAGACCTTCAGCCTAGGTCTCTCCCTGCCTGGCTAGGCGTACAAGCAAGGCTCTACACATGGCATCCAGAGCGATCAGCAGGCGCTGATCAGAAGGGTTTGAGGCTCGGCCTCCGCTTGGAGTAGGTTTTGGAGCTCGCTGGAGCTCCTCCGCAAAGCAGCAAAAGAGCTGATGATTGAACACGTTGCATCTGATGGACAACAACACTCTTGCATGAGACTTAGAGCATTCCAACAAGAAACTGAAGCCAAATTCCGCCCTGACCTCCCGCGCTTTGGCCAGGTCTTGTTCTAGCTCCTCATTCCGATCCTCAGAAAAGCACAGGCTTGCAAACCAGCCCATGTCCTGGCCTCTGGAGTTTGGGGCCTGCCTTGCTGGTCGGAGGTGCCACAAGACATCCGGTATTGCAAGTCCAAGGATCGAGGAGGTCTTCAATTTCCAACTGTCGCTCCTGGTGCACAGCTGGCAGTCAAACTAATAGCACAGGACAGAGTATCGCAAGCTTGGTTCAAATTCGCAGGGTTCTACTTAATATTCGGGTCAAGCTTTCAAGGCTCCTCTCGGAACATCATGGCTAGCCAAGCTCTAATCAATGACGATAATTGTGCTAGAATCGGCTAGTAGGCCCCTAAATATCCCCCAATACCCACCCGAAACGCCCAAAAACTCTCCCAACCTCGGAAAGGCCTCCCAAACGCCACAACCCCAATCAAAAAACCTCCCAAACTTCTGAAACCTTTCCGAGAAAAAAAATACAACCCCTATAACCCCTAGATAACCCTCTATAACCCCTATAGATATATATTTATTTACTTATTCATCTATCGCTTTGGCCTTCAGCATCAAGGCCAGCTCCGCGGCATCCGCGGCCTCGCTGGGGGCAGTCCGCCTGGCCATGGCCAGCTCTTCCTGGAGCTCCTTCACCTGACTAAGGGTTCAGGATTGAGGGTTCAGGGTTTCAAGGGCTGCGGGTTGAGGGATGTAGGGGTTTAGAGTTAAGGGTTTTACGGGTTTAGGGTTTAGGGTTGAGGGGTTTAGGGTTCAGGGTTGAGAGTTGTTTGTTTTACTGGACCCTTTTTTTGCCTGCCGAAATGCTTGTCAAAGCAGGGTCAGGGTTCGGGGTTTCGGGTTCAAGGGTCAAGGTATACATGGATTGTAGGGAAATTATGTGGGTTCATATGCGGCGATGTAGGGTAAGATCGGGTTTTTCTAGGGGTCCATCACTGGCATCTTCAGTGGCCACATTTTACAAGTAGTCGTGGCCGTGTTAAAACAGTCTTCCAGGATTTTGGGTTTTCTGGGAAGGGGGTCTCATGATGAAGGGAGGTCATTTGTGGACAGAAGTGATTGCTCTTACTGCTGATTTTGTGGAAACGCACAAACTCACAGCAACCCGAGATCGAAAAAACATACGCGCAACCTTGCACAACGTTGTGTGGGGGAAGATGCTACATAGAATTATGTAAGAGTTTAGACTTGAAGGACTGGTGTCAAAGCTGTTTTGGTTTGGGAGCTGATGAGTTGAGGTTGTGACAGATTGAATGAATCGCTTATTGGAATTGGCGCTCTGGCCAGGTCGAAAATCGGCTACGGTGGATACTAAAAATCTTGTATGACCCTAAGTACCTTATACTTTGGAAATAAGGGTACTGCAGTATACTAAGGTGATGCGGGATGTTTAGTATCAACTGTATGTGGGTGGGTTGGTCGGCTTCGGGTGGTATGTTAAGATGGGGCGTAATAATATGGTCTGGCTTCCTCTCCAGAAATCCCAGGGCCTTGAGCAGGATGGCCTCTTTGTCTCTCGTAGAAGCTGCAAGGGCCTGACGGCAGACTACGAGGCTTTCGAGATGAAAATGTTGAAAGCAAAGGCATTCTGGCAATGATGGATTCGGGTCCAAGAGATATCCTTCTGGTAGGGCCACTGACCAAGGCTCACCGACATGGATGGCATGGTGTTAAGCAATCACCAGCAACATATGCCACAGGCTGGTCTGCTGGCAAAGAAACGGAACCATGGAAAGGAATTGCAACGCTACATGCTGGAGGTCTACGCAAGATTCTTAGGTGGTCATGACAGACACTTCTTTGTGAACTGTACGCCTCCAAAAAAAATCATGACTTAAGGATGACAGGTGGCAGGTTGCCTTGGTTCTGTCATTGAAGTGGGTCTCATTGAGCAGTATGAAGCCATAGTGCGTCACCGCAAAGTAGCACAGGCTAGGTTTACCTATTCTTATTAGCATCCGCCGGCCTCATCCCTCTCATCCAGCATGGATGTGACACGCTTGTCGAACTCTGCCTGTTGGGGCATGCTACGAGCTTGCATAATTTGGAATACTGTCAAAAAGCAGATTTCAGCACTGGTGCAGTGCTGGGCAGCCGCCTCGTACTGCCTCAAGGCAGCTATCTGTACCTGCAGAGGACAGGCGATAGAGGAAGGGAAGGAAGTTAACTGCCTTGCGGCACAGCGCTCCAATCTCACTGGCCGAATCGCATGTTTGACCGAAAAACTCTGAGCCATCTGCCTCCATCTCTTCTACTCGTCTCAGGAGGTGGCCGTTCATGGCCTTGGTGGGAAGTGGAGAAGCAAATGACCATCGCAGCAGGTGTCCACAGCCTGAGGCCACGGCCTCCGCTTCACGAGCATCACGGTCAGCCTCATCGTAGGCGAGCTGCAGCTCTTCCTCAGTGAACTCGCATATTTGGCAATGCACGTCTCTGAAAGGACTTCTACCGGTTCTTTTCGTATGGCTTATGTTCGGAGCATCATATTAGGATTCTCCTGTGCCCAGCCTCTGCCCGTCTAACGTGCATTTCAAGCATCATTCCGCTCCAGAAGGCGACGATTCTCACCGTCCAGCCTTGCCAAAGCTTCCTGCACCAGACAGCTCTTGTACATTGCACATGGTGGCAAGACCTTTACTTACTCATAATAATTTAGTTGGAAACGAGCACATAGGTTATAGCATAGTTACGAAGGATTACGTATAGGGGTTAATAACTGTGGGGATCCCTTCCCACTTTCCCAACTAAGCAAGAGTAAGGTTGGCATAGTACAAACAGCACGCATGGTGCACTTCGCAAAGCAAAGGTGGCCTCTAACTTGCGGATCTCAGCTTTGAGTCGCTGCTTTTCTTCGGTCCTTTGGCGCAATTGGATCGAATAATAACAGTGATAATAGTAGTAATGATAAGGGAAATAGTAGTAATAGATCAATAATAGTAGAACCAATAGCATTCTTCGTAGTAAGCGGAGTTGGGCAGCCATCCAAGTAGAATAGAGGACTTCTTGCGAGGTCATCAAGGCCAGACGGAGCAGCTGGTTTTGGTTTGAGTCCTTTCTGTACCAACTTCCCAGAATTGTGACTCACCAAAGCAACCAAAACTCAAAACCCCAAAAATGCGTAGAAAGCCTCAGGGAAGGAATCACACAAAATATTTCTGAGATCGCTGCTCAGCCATTGGCGGGCCGATCACATCCGCTAGGCTTTCTTGTTGATGTAGTTTCGTAGTTTTTGTTCAGAAGGTTACATGCTGCATGGCCCGAGCTAGGCTGTTTGAGACGTGTCTGGGTGTAATGTTTGAGACTACAAACTTGTCCAAGGCACCCATGCCTGACAAGGCTAAGAGAGTTGTTGGCATCTACCTGCGTCAATCGCTGGTTTCAAACAACACCTGCTGACCACAGCTCAGAAGCCTGATGTGACGCGCAGCGGCGCAGCGAGACAGAGACATGCAGATGACAGTAAGACTGTGACAACAATTTAAGCATTTGCGGCCATTCACTTCCATTCCACTGACAAGCCTAGCGAATTGTCATGAGGATCTGAAGCAAAACGAAGACTCATTTCAAAACTGGGTCGGGAAAGGTACAGGGCCGAGGCATGTGGAGCTGCACCAGCCAGAAGCCCCAGTCGCTCCTGCGACAAGATGGCACAGAAACACGCCGCAAGAGATGGTGTCAAGATCCTGGCTAGCTTGTACATCCGATCAAAGCAGGCAACAACAAACCTGTCGGCTAAAGGGAAACGATTGCGATCAAGCACCTCAAACTAGCTGAAGTCCAAATGTCCTGCTGCTGGCGTCCAGCAGGTTTGTCGTTTCAAATTCCGCCATCAAAGACAGCCTGCCAAGCAGCTGTAGATCAGCTGGAGCCAAGGTATTGCAGGTGACGTTGTTGCGGGTTGAAGCTGATGCAGATTCTACAAAGACTGTTGGTGGCCTCATGACCTTCCTTTGTCTATTGCAAGCTGTAAGTCGTTCACTTTAACCTCTCAGATGACTGCGGCCTCCTCTTGTGGCGACCCACGAAACCGCAGGTCAGGGGGAGGGAGACGGATGCCAACTGGAACAGGTGCATCAAAACAGATTACGAATCAGGCCAGTCAAAATACATCCACAGCTCAAGAAATCCTACGAGGCAACGGCCGATCCCAAAACCACACAACGCTGCATGCCACAGCTATCAGAATGAATGCAGCTAGGTGCCATGCCATTGCACTCCAGCATAGCCAGGCTTCAGTTGGAGACATGCCCTGCACAGACTTGAAGGATTCATGACATTTCATTTCGTGTGTCATTCAGGGAGGCCATGCCGCACCTGAACATCAAAAAGCCTTGAGCTCTCACGACAGTCATAGGTATTCCTCCCAACATTGTCGTGTGCGCCAACCTTGCGGAAGACTTTGCTCGTTCCAACCTGAAGTTGCAAGAGAGAGGCTTGCGAAGCTCCCAGGTATTTGCCAACGTCGACATGTATAAGATCCGACAACGACACCTTACAAGCATCATGTCATCTGACATTCAAGGAGCAAAACTAGGAATGGATGCGCCCCTCTGCCACTAGATTTTGGAAATTTCTGCAAGTTTGGTGGCTTATGTTTGCGTAGCGCATTGCAGGTCGTGTTCATGGTAGAACAAGGGGAGGAAGATCCGTTAAAAAGAGTCCGGGTCTTACATTCACTACAGCATAATGTTTGTTTCTTTTTTGTTTTCTGGAATATTGGCTTGAACAGATCATGCTTCTCATATCCTTCCTCAGATGCAGCTGTAGCGGCATAGGCGGCCAGCACAACACCCGGCAACAGCCTCCAGCGCTGGTCAAAGCAGGGTGCAGCGGGTGAAGGATACTAAGTCGGTATATCAAGCTCACAAATCGATGACTTGCTGCACACAACGTCAGGTCGGATGATTTGAGGCTCACAAAGCAAACAAAAAATCCGCTTGTGAAAAAATGTTTCGCAATTGGAGGCAAGCCACGACAGAAGGCCAGCGGCCAGGTATCCATGGCCAGCCATAGCACTGTGAGGTTTTGCAGTGACTCTTGTATGTCTTACAACATCTCTCAATCTGAAGCCTACGTGTTCGACAGCTTCCTCTCAAGCCAGGTCAGTAGGTCTGCAACTTTGGGGTGAGAAAAATGCAAAGCATAGGCCTGGTAAACATCTCCAACACGTTCAAGCCACGGCGCCTGCTTGCCATAAGCCCAGCCGACTAGCCAAGTGGTTTTAAAATCCTGGGTCAACTTTAGGGGGCCCCTATACACTGCCGTGTTTCTTGGGGCGTTGCATTGCTGAGCTGCGAATGCGAAAGGTTGGTGGTTCCAAGACCTACAATTCTGATTTTAGCCACCCCGAACACTTCTGCTTTCGCTGCATGAAGATCCTATCTATCCAGGCTGCTTCATAGCAAAGTTTGCGCCCGTGCTGTTTGATGCAACTCGCATGCCAAAGAAGCTTCTGCCGAACTGCTTTTCTCGGGGGCGAGCATACGTCATCCGAGTTCAAAGCGGCAAGCCTCAGTTCTGCAGACATACGCTTGACTCCACTCGACATGACTGTCGACCTGCTGTTGTAACACCACTGTTCAAGTCACGATCGCTGTCCCCTATGTACGCGGCTGCGCAGGCTTGACTTCCTTGAAACTCAGGTCAAGGCTTCCTTTTCCCGAGCAGTTCCCACAGCAAACATGCCTGCAACAAGTCACGGTCATCCTTGGTTGAGAGGTCTACAACATCATGACAGTCTAATGTGGATGGCTTGCCTCACAGCGCCCTTCAGGAAGTCACATGCAAGTCCCATCCTCAGTTTTACTGAACGGCGCGGTATAACTCCCGCACATAAGACACCAAGCACCAAAGTAAGCCAAAAAAATGGAGAGCAGCTGAGGGGCGAGTAAGAACCGCCGGGGATATATGACACAAAGAACCTGCAAGCACGTTGCATGCAGCCAAGAGGACAATGGAATCTTTCGGGACTTTTGCTTCTGAGGCTCCGAGAAATCCTCATCTGCTAATCCGAATTGGCTGGAAGGCTTCAAGCCGTGTAGATCAATTGCAGCTCAACCTCAACTCCTATCTGGCTTCTGCTTCGAAAATCACACTTCGTAAACTCTAATTCGAGGCGTTTAAGGCGGTTGTGGCGACGTGCGCTAAAAGCTGGCTGGGGTGTGGTTCAAGAAGCACTGACACGCTACTTCTGCTATCTTCTGCACATCTCTGCGCGAACCCACTTGTGGACCACTGCAAACGACTGCATGGCCAACCAGTACCCAGGCAGCACCAGAGCAGGCCGCTCATTTGGGCGACGGAGAAGGCCTTGGAGACCCTTCCGGGCAACCCCTCATGAGAGGATGCATCTGTGGGGCTTCTGAACTGCAGTCAGATGGGATTCACAACCACTCAAACTCATGCAGGCCCTCTGAGACTCCGTCTATGGTCAGAAGGGCAGACCTGCCGAGGGAGATTTGAGGCTCCAATCAGACTCTACGAGTACATCTGGAAACATCCCGGGAGCCTGTACCACATCGAGGCCCAAATTGTTCCAAGCATTGAGCCCAGATACCTGACGATCTCTTGAGATCTGGCAACACGAAATGCCTGCAATCTAGTCACCAAGCTACAATTACCCTGCCGTCGACATACCCTTTCCAATCCAAACATTTGGTCCTGGTGTAGACCCACTCCTATAAGGCCCGGACCCGGCAGAGAGCGGCAACCTCTCCTTTGAAGTGAGGTGCGCTGCAAAGCTGTGCACACCCTGCCAGGATCTCATACAGCTCTACGTGAGCAGGGCTGCGACGCCAAAGCATTCTGCAACAAGCTGCCACATGCTCCAGGAACAGACATTCTCCAAAAGAGCCCAGGGTTCAAAACAAAGCTGCTATACACCGGCTGCAGCCGGAGCATCACCACATGGAAAAGGTTCGAAGTAATCAAACTGTGAACAACGGGCGAGAAGCCGCCTTGAGGGAGCACAGGGCCCCGAGAATGCAGGCAGAGCCCGTCGTGAAAGCTGTTGCAAACCTGATCACTAGAAAACGTCGGCTTCATGCTGTGCGCAGCAACGAACTGACTGACAATCGGGGCAGTCTTCACGAGGTCCTGAATACTAACTAGGTTACGAGGGATCGCCGATGAACTTGCACCAAGATGCACCAAGGAGGTGCTGTGCCATGCCATGCTACGACCCCACGGAGACTCCCGGAGCCATGCACGCTGGCCCACAAGCAAGCAGGTAAGGTACAGGCTTCTGAGGCGCCAGAAGTAACATTGGCAACGAAGCAAAGGAGGCAGCCTGCACCAAGTCAAGACTGACTCGACGAAAAGCTGTGTTCGTTCGAGCCACCTCAACTTGTAACAAGCTGGGACAAATTAATGTAAGCACCGTGCCAGGAGAAGACCGCCAAGGGCGAGGAGTACAAAGAAGCTTATCCACCTCAGCTGTGAAGGCAGTTTCCTCTGTGTTGTTGCCACAACGTCCTTCCCAACAACAAGGTAGACTTTGTTGATAACAGCCAGGTTGCGCCTGGGTGCTAATGGTGGCTGCCTGGAGCAGGAGGGCACAATACAAGAAGATCCATACTGCAAAAACTTCCCCGCCTGCATGGCAAATCCTACATGACCGCCAACGGCACCCCCTGCTCGCTCTGCCACGCCCTTCATGCCTTCGGGCAGGCAATGCTGCTAGAGCCCGCTGCAGCCTCGATCTGAGAACACCACTTTGCTTGGCGTAGTTAGCGTAGGCCAGGAGGCCCTGATCAGCTGCATCAGTTAAGGAATGGTTTCACGGCAGCAGATGTTCGTCCACAAAGTGGCAAGCACGAACCAATGCAGTACGTACTTTTTGGACTCCATGATCCGTGAGTTGCGGAAGATCCAGCAGCTGTTTGTCAGTGCTTGGCAAATCCCATTTGGGCCAGCATCAGTGAAAGAGTCATTGTACCTGTCTACTCAGCCATGCAGCTCCTTTCGCATCCGTGTGCAGCAGCCTGACTAAGCAGAGAAGACCCAACGGCCGATCTACTTCGAATGCCAGATCTGATGTAGGTCCCCACCCCAGTCAGCCTACTGCAACTGCCAACACAATCAGTCTGTTGGAGCTAGCTATCGTTGAAGCGTTGCATCAGCCTCTTCGGCAATAAGCAGACACCCTGGCAAAATAACTATCTGAAGTGTGGGTATCCCACCCGTCAGCATACTCCAGCAGTAGCCCGAGGCATCACCTCAATGCAGCTTTGTGGCCTTAAGCCTGGCAGTCATACTTCACCTTGCTGCTGTATGTGCGCCTGCCGTCAGTCTTGATCATAACCGAGGTAGCAAGACCGGCCTGAAGCCTGGAGCACATAGGACCATCACAAATCATAAGATTGGGAAAGGAGCAGAATTTACCAGTCAGCCTCTCTGAAGCGGGCACAGCAGCTGGTGGTATCTTGGCAGGGCAAGGCATCAGCAAGGCTGTTGACTAAATCACGTGTTCCTCTGATGCATCTCCCTGTTTTCGAAGCCATTCTCACTACTACATGGCAGTCAGGGCACAGATTCCTTCTGGGCTGCCGTCCCACGCCCCTTTCCTGCAGCAGCTTACGAGCACCAGAAGATCTGCTGGGTGCAATGTCACGGCCAAGAAGCTCCCTGGCAGAGCGACCCTGTGCAGCCCAGATTCCAGCACCCTTGGCCTTTCGCACCAACCATGCCTTGCAAGGGCTGTCAAGGACTCCGTTTTCAGGTTGAGCGAGAAAGGATGCTCTAGTTTGCCAAAAGCACCCTCTTAGCCCCATCAGGAATCCCTACTGCCGGATCAGTTTAAAAACAAGCATAATCAGGGGCCACTCAAGAAAAAATCCGCAATGCCGACCTTGCCAGAGGCCAGCTTGAAGAGGTTCCTGGCCTCAAGCCACAGCAAATTCAGAGCGAAACATCCTCCTGGAACAAATGCCTACCGCACTTTGACCAGAAGGTATTCTGCATGCTGCAAAGTGACATAAAGCTTGTTGTCTGATGCAGTGGCCCCGTCGGGCGTCTGCTTGGCGCTGGAGGCCTGGAAAACCTTGACCTCACGCACCGAGGCAGATCCCTCCTGACGCAAGCATACGGAAATGCGTGTGAAGGTAGGGTCAGCGCAAACTCTCAAGGTCTCAACACAAACCAAGCTTCCTCTGGCGAGGGCTGGCTTTGCCAATCTTATGTGAAAGCTACTTTCCCAAAGTGGAAACCCGAGATTGGTCGCTTCAACCCTGATCTGGCAACTCCTTGCACTGGTGGGTGTAGAGGAGTCTGGCCAGAGACATACGATCCTCGGCATTCTCCTTGGCTTGAGCTGCGCAAGCTGACTACTCCATTCAGCTGCACAGAGACCGAGACATGTTCCGTCGAGAGTCTGGGTTCACAACCAACGAAACCGATCCATCCAGAGTTTTCTCTGTGACCAGGACGTTATCCTTGTTCGTGTCCAGGACAAGGAAGTAGTGGCAATGATCCTGGAATATTGCGTCTACTCAAAGTTTAAACCGTAGGAAACCAAACTGTCTGAGTTTCGGACCATTTTCTGGCTACGCCAGGGCGCATCAAGGTCCTGCGAGGGCTCTGCAGCCTTGCCGTGGATGGACCTGCATGTAGGAGCCAGGAGGAGCAAGCAGCCAGGTTACGAGGGCTGCACAAGTGATTGTAAGGAGCTTCATGTTGCAAAGTATGCAAACTCGCACTACCCAGCAAAACCCACGGCCTTGCCAAGTCACCAACTGTGTCTACTGCCTCCACAAACCTGTGGCAGTGAAAATGAGAACAGGCGGAACGTGGAGCGGTCTTTCACTGAGTAGTTTGAAAGTCCGTAGTTGCTCAGCAACCCCATCTGATATATGCATGTATAGAATGCAAAAGGTTCCCAGTCTGCATCATGGCTGTAGCAGCTACAAAAATGCTGCCAGCTCACATCCTTGCTTGCACAATCCTCTCGCCATCGGTCACCTGCACGACTTGAAATCCAAGCAGCTTCAGTCAGTGCAGTTTGCTTTGGCAGCCATGGGCCTCCGCTTTTCCGGGCCGGGCGGTCCATCTGGTTGCACGAATCGAGAATACGACCTTCACGAGCTCTGAGGCTCCAGGCTCCTGTGGCAGCCCACAGATGCCATGTGCAGTTTTTTGAATTGCTGTGTGTTTGCCATTGAAACACACACACACACAGTAGGGGTGTAGTGATGCTGTGCTGTCCTGGCAGGTGCGGATCTCCAAGGAGCCAATCTGGTAGATTCGGTACGCCACACCATCCTCCGAGCTCTTCTCGAAGACAGGAGCGGTGTTAGGCAGCATCTCACTGAGAATGAGCTTCTTGAAGCTCGGTGTCAGCGAGACCTGGACCATTCCTGATCGCAAAGCCTTTTTCACAAGTCCGGTAGATACTCCCTCCTGCTCCACCAAGAAATTTGAAGTCCAGGATCGCGGGAAGGCTGGCCCGGGATTCTCTGGGATGAAGGCTGCATCGCAGAAGAGCGCTGCCCTCTTTCCTCGCAGGATTTCCTCCTCGGAGACCAGGGCCCGCATCTTGGCCACATACTTCATGTCCGGATCAGGCGGCACAAATGCATCTCCCTCTTGGGTACGGTCCGTGAGCTGATCCTTGTAGAGATTGCGAAGGAAGTGTCGATCCTCTGGCTTGAAGGGACCGTTCGTCTGACGCAAGCCATCCAGGAAGGCCTGGCCCAGGGGGACCCGCGCCTCCAGAGAATTGGAGTCGGCACTACAGCTGGCTAGGCCCATTCGGAAGCGTTCCGGGGACGTGAGGTCGAAGCCGTCTAGGTTCAAGTCCACACCCTGTGGCTGCTCAGCAGCTGGCGCTGGTGCCGGAGCACGCTGCGTAAGCTGGAAGCGCGCTGGGGCAAAGCCCGGTCGGCCAGCACTTGGTCCCAGCTGCATTCCCTGCAAACCTCCCACCATTGTGGAGGCTCCCGGTCCCACTGGTCGGAGGGTGTGGCGCTGTGCCAACTCAAAGCGGTCTAGCTGGAATTCGATCCCTCCGTAGACACTGGTCAAGTAGCTCCACTGTCCGGTTGCTGAGTTCAGCATCTTCCCATCACGGACTTGGATGCGCGACTGACCTCGCATGTTCCACAACTGCGGGATTTGCTTGTCAACCGGCCTCGCGGATTTCACGAGATCATCGGCCAGCTTCCACCACTCTGACGGCACGTTGGTGCTTGAATCCACGATGAATTTGGCCATCACCGAAGCCTTTGCAAGCTCTCGCAAATGGAAGATCACGCTTTGGCGCTCTGCAATAAGGTCGAAGTGCTTCGTGAAGCTGTCAGCAAACTTCCTGACAATCTATTTAAATATTGCTCTTTTCAGTGCCTTCTTGAGAATTGCACTGTCACAGCTGGCCGAGGCCCCGACCTCAGAGGATGATTCTTGCTGGTGATGGGCGTGTCTTGAAGGCCTTTTGCCGAAACCACCTGGGTCCTGGCCTCGACGCCCATCTTCACGTGCGGGATTAGCGTGCTATCGGCTGCCAGTCGAACTTCTGCTTGGTTCACCACAAACCATTCGCGTCCGGTCCAGCCACCCTTCACGTTGTCGGCCTCCGACCAGTCGAAGACGCTCATCATTCCCATCATGGGCATGTCATGCCTAGGACGCATCACACACAGAAAGCCACTTTTGCATAAGACCACATGCTGCGCAACACCGCAACGTGTGAACATGTGACCACTGCGTGCCGTCCAGAAACTCACCCATGGACAGCTCTTTCAGGTAGTAGTCTGCCTGGAACATGAGATCTCCCACGCTTGTGCCGGCAAGCCAGGATGGGCTGAAGCGCTTCTCCAGCATACTCTTCTCAAGGTTTTCCTTACCCGATCTTCAGTCGACGGGGCGAAAACTGCTGGACAGGCGCGCAAGGATTGCTTTGCAGCATCCAGGTGCCAAACTCAAGGCAAAACTTGTATGAAAGAATGCAATGCCTATCCTAGTCTCGGGGTTCACTGGGTCCAGCGAGAAGAGCGGCTCCCGGCAGGCATGATACCGAACCTTGCCAAGCGGGAGCATATAGATGCCGAAAAGGCAGGAGACTCGGTGGTGCTTGGACTCTCAAACGAGGTGCTCAGGCTTTGAACCACACTCCGCCTATTCCGCCTACTCCGCCTAGTGCCATCAACAACAACTCGAGCCCTGGCCTTCAATGCCAGCAAGAGATACTCCAGGTTCACTGCTGCAGCAGGTTCGGAAGTGGCTGCGATCCGCACAGACCTAGCTGCCTCATCCCAAATGAGACAGCACAGACCTCCAGAGTTTCAATTGGTCTTGTCAGCTTGCCAGGCGATCAGGCCACTCCAAAAAGATGCTCTTTGAAACCCGTCCTTGAGGTGCCGGGCTGCTTCCAAGCTTCGTGGCCTGAGCAGCACATGCAGCAACACATTACCATACATTACCAATCACTACCATGTAAGTGACTGCAGGCCCAAGATCAGGCGAGCTGCAGTGAGGGCATTCCTCGGAACCTGCTGGGCTGTCCAGCCAATGCCATACTCGCTACGGTTCTGTTGCTTCTTCTCGGCCTCATCCTTAATTCCATGATCAGGAATAGGTGACCAATGCACTCTGCACAGCATCTTGCGCCCTCCATCATTTCAATGAAGCGTCTTTCACACGCTTGGTGTCCTTCTCCTTCATCTCTTGCAGCATCTGCTGAGCTGCACACTCGCCATGCATTGATGTTGATTTGCCCTGCTGTCCACTGTAGGAGACCTGAGGTCTGCATGCTGCAGCGCTCAGAAAATATTGAGAGCCACAAAAGATTGCATTGCAGTCAATAGCTAAAGACATATCTACATGTGCGGACTCAATTGATGACCAGGATGCCTCGCCAACAGGAAGCAAGCAGTGCGCACAGAGTGTGACTTGCTCACCCTCGGAATCGACGTCCCAGAGCTTTGCCTCCAGCCAAGCTCTGGAGGGTAGCATGGCAAGACATGAAGCCATGAAGCTCTTTGACCGGCTATTCAAGCCATGATGGGCCTGGCGCTTTGTAGTTTGCGTTCCCTTCTTGAGTGCCGCCTGGACAGTTCTGTTTGCACCGTCTCATTCCCAGAGGCTGCAAGTCTCTGGCAATATGCCAGGCCTCAACCTCTTTCACTCCTACCTCGCCCTTTTCATTGGAAGACTCACCAGAATACCAAGGGAATGCTCGGCGGTTGAAACCTTGCTTTGCATGCGGGACACTGGGGTACAGAGCATCGTGACTGGGACCTGGGACTGCTCATATTGCAGGAGGGCAGCCCTGAGCTTCGCCGTCCCGAGATTCGCCAAACTTTGACGCATAGCGTTTCAGGATCTCTTGTGCCTTCGCAGGCGCAGCGTCCCACAGGTTGCCACAGCCCAATCCACAACGACTCTTCACCTCTCCACCTGCCTCTGCAGGCTCCGGCTTGCGCTGTTCCGGCTCCTCAGGCTACTTGTGTGGCTTTCGTGCCAGTAAGCGCAGTGAAGCACTGTGATAGCGTGATACACCTCAGGGTTCAAAGCAGGGTCTGCCCCGTCCTTGATGGGGCTCTCCTTGACAGAGTTGTTGTTGTCGCTGCCACTGTCACTTGTCGCATCATAGAGCTCGGGGAGGTCACTGTCACTGTCGTCCGTAGACTCCTTCACCAGCACAAGATCAAACAGGCAGGTAGGACATGCGGCCATTCCCAAGACCAGATCAACACAAGGAAGCTAGCATCAGCTGACAAACATCCTCCGGCCGACTGCCAAGCTTTTCCTCCATAGCCTGTCGGAGATGGGAAGAGCCAAGGACTGCTCAATCCCAAGGAAGCGACATGAGCTACAATGAATATCCTCGCTAATGGATGTGGGGGTTCATTGGGAAATAAACTCAGCTTGTAATCACAAGAAGGAACCCTCCTGTGGTACCGGTAATGTTGACTTGGAAAGCTGCCATGCGCACCTCCAACTGCGGTGCTGCAGCTACGCTCATTGCGGTGCTATCAGGAAGCAACTCCCCACTGCTGAAGAGTCCCGGAGGCAAATGTATCCTTGAACCAGAGAGGCAGGTCCGGCCAAAACAAGTTCCTGAACGAGTGGGGCTTGAGCTGCATGAATTCGGCAGTGCCTGCCAAACCCAGCCACACAAACAGCTGAATGCTTTGTCTAGATTGACTTTGCACAGCGTTCTGGTTGAGTATGCATGTGTGCTACGGCCTGTCACAACATGGGCTGTTGCTGCCTGAGTCTCGTCCTCGGTTCCTTCCGTTGGCCGCCCATCCTGCCATGCGGTGAGGGCAACGGACTGTGCTACAAAAAAGGCTCATCCCCGCGGCGCCTCGCGGCTCAGCCATGCCCACGACGGGTCCTGCCGGGCAAACCAGCGATCTGCGCCATGACAGACAGGTTGGGCACGGATGACTCATAGGTCTGCAAGGCAAAGACTGTTGCAGAATGGTGCAAGGCCGTCCTGGCTGAAAGTGGACCAATAAGATCCATGAGAGCCAGCCATTATGACATGCCTGCTGAATGTTTTTCCTTATGTGGTGGAGGTGATTCTGGGAGGGGCTCTGACTGAGTGTCTGTTATTGTTTGTTGGTTGAGGCTGCATTTTCTGAGAGATGGGTTTAGCATTGACATGCTGTCGCACACAGATGGAGCCATCATGGAGATATGAGCACATGCAGCTGCGCTGGCCTTAACTGTACAAAAGTTGGTATTGACGCAACACTCAGCTGGCTGTAGCGGCAAGCAGGCCGGAACAAAGAGCGTGCTGATCGCGCATTAAAACCTAGAGAATCCCAGAGGCCATATTCATATCTGAAAGGGAATCCATGAACCCATTCCAGGATGTGTTCAGCCACTCTTCATTTCTTTCGATAGTCGACTGAAGCAGCGTGCTTTGCACTGGGCCAAGTCTCCATTCCTGAGCAGCACACTCATTCTGAACGAGGGGTACGAGAGTAGCACTGAAGATTGGAAATAGAATCAAGTCAAGCATTCACCAGGCTTAAGCGAAGAGACCCCAAGATGCCTTGGCTTGTTGGAGGAAATCATTACAAAAGGTGCTTCAATCGGTGGCTCCAGGATTCTAGTACTGCCGCAAGCACTAGACGCTGACACTCCGGCCAAAGCTCCCTGCCTTCAAAGCCAACTTACCAGAATGGGTTGCCATCGCCTTGCAGTGAATACTGTAATGTGGGAACTCTCTATTTCACCATCTTGTGCTGCAGCTTGACCACTAACCCTGGATCCCTACTCCCGAAGTCCGATGCCCGTAATCCAGAATCCAAAACGAAGACTTGAGAATAGCTGTGGTGCTGAGAGAAGTTAGCTTAGGGAAGGGTTTCTGGGGCCGAAGCGGATGTGGATGTCCAATCTTCATGCTGGGCAAGAAACCTCACATGGACGGCCCTCATGCAAAGGAATGGGCTGGGCAGCCACTTTGTATCTGAATGGTGCTGGAAAGTCGCTCTGTCACACTTTCCGTCAGCAAGCGAGTGGAGAAATGAGTTTGCGGAAATAAGGGTGCCCGCCACGGGAAGTTGGTTGGGCGGGGTATGTATCAGCATTAGTAAATTTGGAAGTGAGGTCTGTCTTGGGGGCCAGGTTTCGAGGCGTGCTTCGGGGATATGTCTCGCTTGAAATTTCCTTCTCTTCGTAATACTGGACTCAAATGCAGATGCCTCAATGAAACGACGCTGCAATCAGCACCTGTGTCTAGGCCACAACGACTGCCCCTCCTTACTTGGGTCTACTGTCAACGCAGCAGCAGCACCACTGACGATTTAATGATGACTCCTGGCTTCTCATGCTCAGGGCGCAACTCGGTCAAAGACCAGCAAGTGGTTGACAACACTCGTCCAGCGTGATGCCCGTGGAAGCGCTCCTTCTCATGGACATCATGTTGTTGTGGTCTGGCTTCTGAGCATACCTTGCACTCCCATCCAGTCCCTTGCCCCAAGCTATGTCCGTAACTCAACCAGCATCTTGGTGCGCTGAACACCGCCCCTGTCCCAAAGAAAGAGAGGTGCACCAGGGTTCAGCGTGTTGTCGGCCACCAGCTGGGCCTGGAGGCAGCCGGGAGCTATAAAGTTCTGACCAATTTTCTACCACATTGGACTTTAACCCACCGTCCTCAGCACCCATGGCCCTGTGCTTCAGGAGCTGATTGAAGTCCTGGGCACTGGGATCTACCTTCTGAAATTTTCAGAAAAAGCACGGCTGGTTTTGGATGTTTGCAGATTCTGATCATAGCTCTGACGCCTGCATAGATAGTAGTCACTGCTCAGAGTCGACTTCCATGTGCAACAATTGACCACCCAACCGTGGCTCACAAGATTCCAATGAAAGAGAGACACCAAGCAGGCCTGATGGAAGATGGTCCCGCGGTGGTCCATGAAGCATAATCCTTCGCATCTGCATGGCTCCAGAACAATGCCAGCACTGGCAAGAGGGTACTTGTACACTTGGCGGACCTGTGCTGTGAAAGCCCAGCTCTTCCACAATCTGAGCCACAACATCCTGTACAGTGTCACACAGCTTTCAAGGATTTCGAGGATGCCATTAAGAGACAGCGCCATGACTGGAAGATTGAAAACATGAGGCTCCAGCTTTAACTTGACCAGGTCTCACCTCACAGCCACAAGCTGGAGGCGACTCCGAAGCTCAAGCAATGAAAAGGATGCACTTCGCACTTCATCCGCAAAAAGCTACAAATATCTTAAAATCAAAGTCACGAAGCCTCTGCAATCTGCGCAAGGCCCGCTATGTCCAGCAGAAAGCGAGACAAAGAGACATGCAGCGGGTTCACCTGCCGGACGCTCAAACGAGGACAGCCGCACAAAACCCGATATGTCTTGTGGGGCGGATCCTGAAGAACCCATCTGTTCCATCACATCCCCTTCTAAACCTGACCAACAAGCTCTCCCTCAATGTCACGGCCTCCACTGAGATCAGGGACAGCACGCGGCCAAATCGCCTAGCAATAAAAGTGGCTGAAATTGATGACAAAAAAGGCCTTCTCCCGTTGAGGGCTCCTCATATATACACCTGAAGCACCCGGACCCTCAACGGCGACACCCCAACTGTACGCAGAATTTTGAGAACACCCACGCAGTGGATGACTGATCGCTGAAGACCCCGCTTTCAACCAGGTACCCAGAGCTTAGTAAGTAACAGACTAGTGGGAAAGTCTGTGAGATCTTCACTTAGCCTAGAAATGCCCTTGTCCTGTCCATACTGGATCTTCAATTACGTTATATCCGATGGAGAACTTCAGACCTCTTAGGGCTGACAGGCTGCTTTGGAGACCAGGCCAACGCGCGAAAGCGGGTATACTTCCATTGGCCCTCACAAAGTATAACCGTGCAGCGCGGCCTCTGCAGCTCGCTGCTGAATCGGACGGCGGAATAGCCCACGAAGGCCCCAAGCTCCAGCACAACCTGTTTCTGGGCACTCTTCTGCATCTTTCGGCACTAAAGCTCGCAAAAATAGGGAGCCTTGTCATCCATTTTTCGTACAGGCTGGATGTTCTCACCCTTCCCTGTCGCAGCACATGTGGCTGCTTCCATCTGAGCGAAAGTCTGCTCTGCGCCCAGTCGACAAACATTCATGCCGACATTGCTGACCCTCTCCCAAGTACAGCCGGATATGTCCGTAGCACGTCTCGTGGGAGGAACCATAGACTCAAAAGAATTGCAGTGGGCAAAAAGCTCGAATGTCAACATGGAAACTTGCAGCATTGTCAGGAACGCTCCTCGAAACATGTTCCGCTCCCTCGCGAACTAAGTTGCCCATGTTACATTCAATCGGGCCCACAAAGGAGTGGCACCATGCCGTTTCACTTGTCATGCATGATGCCCTGTGGCCTGCACAATTCACAGGCCCCACAGGCATCTTGTCCAATCATGTTGCCCAATCTCTTGCCCGGATGTCACAACTGGTGTGCGACAAGTCGAAGCAAAACTGCCATGCGCTCAGCGCAAAGCATCCCTATTACTACTAGGAGTGGATAGCAGTTGAAAGCTCTGTCAGGGAGATGCTTCACCGCTTTCCATGATGACCTGAAATAAGAGTCAGAACTGCCCGATGGTGTCCACCTGAAGATCTACTGCATAAGAGCGTGCCACTCTGACTGTGTTCTAGAAAGCTGGTTCAAAAACCCGTGCAGAAGGGACACGACACAAGTCGGCAAGATCCCAGCGATAGTCAGGAATTGCCTGGCGGTGGTTTGCAGAATCGGGCAAACTACCGCACCAAGACAAGGAACGTGGTTAAAGACGCCGCATAGAAAAGGCGCCCGTCTACTCTGGAAGTCATCCAGCAATCACTAGTCTCAACAAAACAGACAGTCAAGAGTAGCTGTATGCTTGTCTGTAGATCTACTACACCTACAGTCACCAAAGAACCAATGCATGAAGGTCGCTGTTTGGAAGTGTGTCAGGTACCTCAGCTGGCTTGCAAATGCTGACCTGCAGGTGCATTGCGACTCTAAGGTGTCGCTTTCTCCACATCCAGAACCAAAGGCAGAGGCGTACTTGTAGCACTTATGAACGCCTTCTGCATGCAACAGACTGGCACTTGAACGACCAAGGTGCAAGAAGGCTAAGGCGAAGCAGCCAATCACTGTGATGGCCGTCCTCTGATGCAAATAACATCTCGTAACCGCCAAGACGCACCAAGATCTAACTGCCTGGCCAAGCTGCTCCACAGCACCTGCTCTTGAAGGTCCCGATGGCAAAGGGGCCATCGGAAGCTTGGTCCGCTCCAGGCATGCCTCCCAAGAGAGGAAAAAACACATCCTAAATGCTAGAAACTATGCAGCCGTGAACGGCTGCTGAGCGCTTGCCCGCACTACAGGCAGTAGCTGACCTTGACATTCTCGGAAGTGCAGGTGCGAAAGATCAGCTCATCTAGCCTCAGAGAGCCATTGGCTATTGTGCCATGGTCAGCCCAAACACGCACAACGTCCATTTGAGACCGGCAGCTCGCAAATGAATGTTAACGCCAAGGAGTTCAACATCAGGTTGTCGACTCCGGGAGTGGCAGTCAGCCAGCGCGCACCTGCAAGCGGAAAATTCACAACCGGCGTTTAAACAAACAGAAACTGCTTCAGGACAGCCGAAGGATTCTCTAGAAATGGAGCGGGCCTATGTACCAAAGAACAATTGCAATGATGAACTTGGGGAGGAACACGATGAACGCTATCCAGAATTTCAGCAGCCCATTCCTTCCACGCAACGAGGGCAGCAAGGCCACCACTTCTAGGCAAGACGTGTGTCATCCGAGGAACATGTGCGTGATCACAAACTGGCTCTGATCCTGATGATCAAGGATGTACCTCACTTGATGGCACCACACAGACTGCAGCCGAACCCGAAGGATTCCGAGGGGATGCTGGAGATACAAAGGCATAAGCGGCCTAAACATAGCTGAGGAGCACCCATCCTTCAGCTGGCCGTTGAAGCCTGATGGTGTGCCAGAAGAAGTACACCTGCCAAACCATGCTTCCAGCATTAGACTGCCACTGAATTGTCACTGCAAACTCCAGATCAACCAGCGCTACTGCCAGTCCAGGCGCCGTCTGCTTGAGCTCGTGCCCCAAGAAAAAAGTCCAAATCAGAATGACCTTTGACAGCAACACTGCCAGGTGCTATCAAGTCATCCCAGTGCGATGTCGGCACCATGAAGAAAAACGTCGGGTTCGTGAGCGGAAACTGGCAAAGCTCGGCTTTGGCGGTACCATCCCAGGACTGGAAGAGAATCCGAACATCCTCTCCTTGGCAACCATCATAAAACTATCTGCTCAAATGCACGTCAGTCATGTGGCCGTGAGAACCCACCCTCTGCCCGTGCACCTGCAGTGTTGTACGCTAAAGCCTTCAGAGCACTTTGCAGACCACTCACGCACAATCCCCAACCAACGAAATGAGCGGCTCGAATCAGTGAGGGCCTCCCCATAGCAGTGGTCCGTGAAGCGATCGTAGAGATCACGCGCATGCTCCATAGCCGGGAAGGCCTCGAGGATACAGAACTATGATTGCACACATTTCTGCATAGCCTTCGGCGCAGGCGGCGCGCTTGAGTCTATGCCAATTGAAGTCTTTGTGCTTCTTGGCGGCTATGAGGAATTCAATCTCAAACAGCAGGAACATCTGCAGGAAGACCTCAGGTAGCATTGTAGTTAGCAAGCTTTCGCTCAACTTGCAGCTGCAGAGTGTGTTGGGGGCCAGACATTGCCCACTTGCAGCCCCAAGAACAGCATGAGGTTGAGAAAAATCGTCGCCTCCTGCCCTTCGCCGCATCCTGGCAACGTGTACGGTTTGCCACGTCTCGAATGTCAGCTGTGTTCATGTCCTGCCTGTGCATGCCAGGCAGGAGTACTGTATTGTGAGATCCTCAGATTGGCCGCACGCCTGGTTAATTACCAACGATTGTCGGGAGACGATGCCAGAACTTCCTTGTGCGACAGAGGCACATAGATGCTGGCATTGAAACTCAACACCTCGTTAAGCTCGCGCTCGTCATAGTCAGCTTCGACGCGTACGTGACCTATCATTTTGCTGTAAGGACTGATTGAGCCTGCAGCATGCGATTTCTTTTGGACAACATGCCCAGATCCGTGGGGCAACTGGAAATCGGCCGAATCGGCCGAGGCCGGAGGCCTGCGGCGTTCAGATCCAGGTTCGGAGACCAGGAGAATAGGTTAACCCTCACCCTAGCCCCTTCCACGATTCAGGGGTGGGATCTGATCGACTTTGTTTGTCGGTTTGTGGGGGATGACCTGGGGACGGTTGGCCCATCGGGCTGTGCTCCGCGCCTGCTGCTACCCTTGCTGTCTCACACCGGCCACCCTTGCCGATGCGGTCTCACGCTAGCGATGAAATAATTTCCATGCTCGAGGCAGCGTGAGACTTTGGTGAGATTCCACTTAGCATACCTAAGTCATCTTGATTTTGGGTGACTGGCAGGCGTGCTGGTCACCTGTCTGGGGTGCCTCAAATGTGTAACCCATTTCAGAGGTACATGAAGCTGTTCCTGGTCAATCGCTTTCTGCACAAAGCTGCGTAATCATCAAGAGTCAAGCGGGAGCCGTGGCCCAATATAATGGCAAGGAAACTTGACTCATTCCTACCTTGTGGTATCAGCACTTGAAGAAAATATCTTTCGCACTGCCTGCTGTAACTTCCAAGCTGATGTGCCTGATCAACCTATCTCCCGGGCATCTGCCTCAACTACTGAGCAAAAGGTTTCCCTGCTGAGCCTGGATCCACCTCCGCCAGTGGAGAGGACAGCAAATCTCTTTGCCTTAGATGCCCAAGCCGAAGAGGCAGCCAAGACCAATTTGCATGAGCATACCTGCAGTGGCCTATGTTTGCAAATGGGTTTCTTGGAGGCTCGTGTTGGCGTCGTCGCCTGTGACTCCCCCAGAGCAACCAGGTCCGCCTCATTGTCCCCTGAGATGGACCGTATCCTCCAAACTGGACTTTCTTTGGCTGGCTGGTTAGGACTTTAGCTGGACAGAACCATATATCTGACCCTGTCGCAGGAAAACCAACACGGTCCAAATGTGTGTGCTGGCATCGGCTGTCAGTCCTGGGCCTCAAACCCTGCATCGGCATGCTGAGTCAGCTGCGCAGCTGTTGACGGCCTACTTTGCTTGTACCTTTGAGGCTGGAGTTCAAAAAGATGCCGCCCCAAAGCATACTTCCTTGTCGATTGTGTTCATGTTTCCGTCAGAAGCTTGAGCAGAGAGAGCCGAGTTCAAGAATGCACAAGTGTCACAAGGGTGCCAGAGGGTGCCCAATGGCAATCAGCATCCTTCGCATGGGATCCAAACAATCAAAGGGCCCGAAATGCCGAGAACCCCTATAATCACGTAGATCTACAACTCTCTGAAGAAAGTTAGAGCTCAAACCAAACAGTACACCCCAATTCGGTGTCTAAGAGTTAGCATCTGGCCTACAGTTGTTGACCATAAGTAATCACAGTAAACTCCTTGACCCTAAACTTTGAACCCCTTGGACCCTGAACCACCCAACAACCATGAATTGAACCCCTAAATGGCTGAACTCGCTTTGAAACCAAGTCTTGAGCCTGACCCCCGCAGAAAAGGGGGCGCTGCACTGCGGCTTTCAGCAGCTCAGCCTTGCAAATTGCGACGACTGTTGCTGTGCGAAGGTACATGCTGCATGTCTGTACTTTTTAAGGCCTCCATACATGTAGATAGACTATGCGATGCACGTGCACATGCAGGCTCTGCTCACCCAGGTACACAGCGAAGGAAGTAGAGAGGGAGAGAAAAAGCAAGAGAGGAAATCGGGCCTTGTCGCCTCCCGCCACCTTGAGCCACTGGCCCCTGTGCTTGGCAAAGTTCTCACCTTGGGCTAGGAGCATGTGCAGCTGCGTCTAGGATTAAGAAACACCAAGTGCCCTTCCCTGGCAAATCGCATAAGCTTTGTCCATTCCAGCAGGATGCCTGCGTTTTGCAGCCGGGCTGATGACTGGCTTTCAAAGAAAGCCATCCGCGTCAAGGCGGGAGAGAGAGAGAGAGAGAGAGAGAGGGCGGGGTGGGGGACGAGGCATGATGAAGCATACCAATGAGAGGAACGCCTCACAAACATCCGTCCTACGGCCCGTTTGCATGCTCGCTTGGTCGCTTCTGCATTGGGCAGAGCTCTGAAGCCAGAAGAGGGCGGGGCACTGCCACTGATGGAATCTGCTGAATTACAGGCGCTTAGAAATTGCGTGACTTTCTTTTACAACATGGACTGCGCAAAAACGAGCTCTGAAAGAGATGGATGTAAACCGGTAGACCTGGAAAAAGGAAGGAAGCGGAGGGCTCTTGTGGCAAAAGGACATATGACAATGATTTGTGATTTCACCGGTTTGCATCTTGATGCCTTCCCAGTCACATGCAGTGAGAACTTCCTCTGCATTCCCTTCGACCATGGTAGCCTCTCGCACTCAGAAGGGGTTCTTGCTGTTTCTGCACCATCTCAAGAGTCTTCAGCTTGATGCCTCCAGGAAATCAACGAGCTTTGCCACCTTCTGGTACCTCTGACACAGAACAGCTCTGTTGATTGCAGTGGGTCAGCTTCCTAGATTTGTTGGGGGCCGGGCGCAGCAGGCAGCGCCCGACGCCCCAAAAGCAGTGGTTGGCCGAGAGCCGCCATCTCCATCTGAGCGACACCACTACTCCCCGTTCCGCCCTGCTTTCCCAAGCTGTTTTGAACAAGCTTCTCCCGCGCCTGAACGCAGCGAAGAGGGAACCACGAGCCTAGGCTACGCCTGACGGCGAAGTCTTGCTCGGAATCCTTGAAGAGAAGACTAGCACAGCTTTCACAAGTTGGGCCCGTCTGTTACATGCCAACGTTAACCAAGCCCGCCGACAACTCTGACTCTGGTAGTAACATGGGCGCGCACAGGTCCTTGCACCAGCTGCTGTCCATCTCCACGATGCCATATGGCTCCACTTGCTGAAATGCACCCTGGCTCAACTCATTTTACGCTTGCCCCTCTCAACATCTCCCCCTCCGACATGTTCAGTGTCCGACATGTTAGGTGTCGCGTCAGCAGCCCACACTCCTACAACCATGCCCACTGCAATGACCTCGGCCCAGAGGTCAAACAGACGCCGGAGCTCAGTACGCAAGCCAGCCTGCACAAAATCCCAAGGATGCCGTTCATCGTTTGCTGCAACTTCACAGGCTGCTCGTTGCTGACTCGCCTTCCACATGGTCCACACAAGCATTGGAGCCTCGGGCCACAAGCCATCAAATCAGTAAAGATACAAACCCAAGAAAAAAAGCCACTGTAAAGCTCTCGGGCAATGGGTTTGAGACGCTTTGATTGGTGGCAAACACATCCTGTCGATGAGTCACCTCAAGGGAGCTCCACTCTTCTGATCAGCATCAATGGGGCATTGGGGGTATCTTGAAATCTGCAATGTGTGAGCTGCATGCTAGCAACATAGCCGGCCCACATGGAGGAGCTTGACAGATGCCCAAATAATTACATGCAAGCCATGCACACTCGCACCAGCCACCTTGTCAGCCACAAACATCGACACCTCCCAAGATGGCAGGAATGGAATAACAGAGCGCCAGCCTCCACAGCTAAAGCGGCTACTGTAATGAATCGATCAAGCCGAAAAGCTCCGAACGCCTCTATCAGTACAGAATCATGTGCCTGCTCCGACTGCGGCGACAGCGTTGCCGACTTCCATGGTATGTTGGTCATGTCCTTGCTCATTCAGACAACCTTCTGTGTCTGAAGTTGAGGGTCGAAATCGGGTTCCTTCACATTAACCTTTGATTAAAGCTAGCAAAAAAGTAGGATCCCAAAAGAGCTGCAACCAAGAACCTCTCGCGCAAGATGCCTTTCAGTGAGCTGGCTACAAGTCTCTTTCAAACGGATCTCCTGAACGCTTGGCTCCTCTTGCTTTCGGTGCGCTTCAAAGGCAATGGCGTCCATCAGTGCCTGCTAGCACTGCTGCTAGCTTTTGGAGACACTGGACAGATTGGGCGAAGAGGCGGGTCAAGGAGTGGTTAAGTCCGTGTCGCGACAAATTGAGCTCAAATCGCACACGAATCCCAGAAGCAGGACTGGCTTGCAAGTTTCGCGTAGGTACGTCTGGGGAATGCCTCATGCTGAAGGGAGGCCCTGCCAAACCATCAAGCTGCGTTGGCCAGCTCCTTCCACTCAACAACCACCATAGCAAAAAGGCAGTCTTGCGCTAACGGTCGAGCCTGCGACTCAAGCTCGGAAATGACATACAGACCTTGATCTCCAGCTGCCCGCAGAAAAGGCTTTTCACCCAACCTATCAGCGGGATAAGTTTTTTGGCAAAGCTTACATAGGCCATCTCACCCGTCAGGAAACCGAGGTTCGTGCTACACCGTGCCAAAAGCCTGCACTGCGTTGGAAAGGTTCTGTGTGTCGAGCCCTGTCCAAGCATGGCTGGGTGCAGCAAAGCAGATCCAAGCCACACAGCCAAAAATTGCCCGGAGATGCCTTGAAGTCTGGTCACGCAAGCAGCTGCAATGGTGCCCATTGACCTTGTTAAGGGCAAGGGCTCTACACGAAGCCCATCCAAAATCATCCAAGCATCTAGGTGCATGACCTCTCGTCGGCAAAACCTGGAGCCGCTGCTCTCTGCCCAGCATTCGACCTCGAACTCCCAAAAAGATTGCAAGAGATGTATTGCTGTCAAGGGATTTCAATTGACAGCTTGGCTCCTAGCAGGTGCTGCGGGCTGAGCTGCTCGATCCTCCTGTGATGCAGGGGCTTAGGTGGTCGAAGGGAAGGGGTTCAAGGTCCAGAGCATCTTCGACTTGTCAAACTATTGAGTCTCGCACTTTTGGCAAGTAACCTCTGTGTTGTGCGGAACTGGCAACATGTCAACATAGCGCTGAAGCAAGTAGGTGGTCCGATGCGAGTAGGCTTATCCCCAATCAGCCCCCCATTTCCGCAGCAAAGCAGCGACAACGAGAGAGAACCCGCTGCTTCACATCATGATTTCGTGCAAGAGCTGGATACATTTCACACCAACATGGTATCAAATTCTGCTAAGATCAGTGAGCACTGATCACCATTTTGGGTCTGCGTGGTGCTGGGTTGGGTTGGTTTCTGTCAAGGTTTGCACCACCGTTTTGTGGGCATGGGCTTGTCGCAGAACCCGGGACTCCAAGGTTTGCCTCTCCAAGCGGCCACTTCCAAACTCAGGTTCTACTCAGCTCATACCAACTCTTTCTGGCTTTGATGTTGTAACGCACCTGGCAACTTCTCTGTCGTTGTGGGGCACGGCGACTTGGGCTTCAGCAGGAATGTAAAATGCACACTGCACGTCACCCACTAATTATGATGTACAGTACGATAACCTGAGCAGGCAGCCCTCGAACTGGGACACCCTTGGCCCGTCGCAGCGCCATTGAATGAACGGCTCAAATATAAAACATCACGGTCAAGAGTCAAGCGCGATACGTTTATTTGCACAGGCTCAGCATGTCAAATGTGCCTCTGCGCGCAACACGCGAGCATCGCAATCAGGGAGTCCTGGTGTAGTAACAACAGCTTCGACACACACTCGCACAATACTTCAGCCGGCATGGCCTCCTTGACGGAAAGCGTCGCGCAGGCCCACATCAAGATGGAGGTGTCTTGGGCGTTCAGTTCACTCTGCCTGCCGCTGCCAGAGACACGTCCTGTTGGTTGACGCTTCGTGGGGCCTCCTGCAAACATCTCCCGCGGTCGCAGATGCCAAAGGCGCCTTCACCACCTGCAGCGCTGCTTCAAGCACTGATTCAAGCGGCGAAAATTTGCCGAGGTCAACAGGCCTCAGAGTGTCGAGACCTTTTTTGACCGCTTCCTCATTCCCTTCCGATTGCTGTGCTAGACATGGGTCGGCAAGACAGCCAGGCCCCTTTTCCAAGATCTGCCTGCCACGTTTCCTGATTCCCCGTGTGCAGGAAAAGCAGGCTGCTTGCAGCCCGAAATCACTGCTAGTGAGTGGGATGCTCATCATAACACTTGCACCCCAGTAGGAGTGCTCTAGAAACCGATATCGGAATCGAAATGACAGAAGATCGCACAAAAAATGCCATATTGGGAGCCAGTGGAAAGAGCACAACCTGGAATATCAGAACCGGCAAAAGCAAATCTGTCTTGAAAGGCGAAAAATGGAGGACGGGACTTACAGAGAGCCGGTGCAAAACATGTCCCCATGGCCATACCTCTTGATCCCATGGCATGATGAAAGAGGTCGATTTTGACAGAATCCCCGTCACCATGCCTCTTGATCACATGCCATGCCCCTTGATCCCGTGGCATGCCAAAAGATGCGGATTTTCACAAAGTGGCTCTGCCTTTTTCACGTTCTTGTTTGTTCGCCTTGTTATTGCTTCGTGGAAATTCGCTGTATTGACCTTGCGCTGGGCTCGTGAGATTAGCTTTCTGGTTCCTGAAATTCGCCTTCTGGTTCGTGAAATTTGCCTGTGGGTTTGCTTTGTGCAACTTGCCTAGTGGTTTGTGTCATTCGGTGTTGTCCATGACATTCAATTTACCCCACCAGCAAACACTCGCCGCAAACGCTGGCGTCACCAGTACTCGTCATAGCAAAGCGGTAGTACGGGAAGGGGGAACTGGTGGTGCTCATAAACATAAGGGTGGCAGTAGTAGTAGTCGTCGTATGTCGTCGTATGTCGTCGTATGTCGTCGTATGTCGTCGTCGTCGTCGTCGTCGTCGTCGTCGTCGTCGTCATCATCGTCGTCTCGTCGTCCGTCGTAGTTGTAGTAGTCGTCGAAGTACTAGTCGTAGTAGTAGTAGTCGTCGTCGTAGTAGTAGTAGTAGTAGGAGTAGTAGAAGTAGTAGCAGCAGCAGCAGCTGTTGTTGTACTAGTAATAGTGTTAGCAGCAGTACTACGTAGAATTACTAAGGTTAGCAGGAATAGCAGGAGTAGAAAGAGCTTGAGCCTAAGCAGGTGCAGAGAGTAGGTGTAGGGGTTGTGGCAGAGAAAGCGGTGACAATAAAAGCAAAGCCATCAACCTTTGTGCCTGCACGGTGCTGAAAGCCCACAGCGTGTTGGACACCGCCTGCTCACATCCACTGGGCACTGGTCATCACACAGGAAGCTGACTTGTGCTATAGACCATCCTGCAGACCTGCATATACATAACAGACATAACAACAAGCTTAACAGTCACAAACGAACAGACTCCAAGCTCTCAGTTGGTGGAAGCAGCTGCAGCGTGACGAGCTCTGAAACAAGGAGTGTGGGCATACGGCAGAGTGCCAGTGCCGCGCTGCTACGCCTGCCCATCTTGTCCTGGCCTGCGTATCTCCCAGCTGAAGCTTCCGCACCGCCTGCACAGATTTGAGTTTGCTCAGCTTGACACCTTCTTGCAGTGTCTGCGCAGTGTCCTGTACATTTGGCTGAGTCGGGACTCTGGCCACAACTCAACACGGAGTACTGAGCAAAAAAACTTGGTTGTCAACACCAGGGTTTAGAGTTAGGGAATGCAAAAAACGGGCTCTCAAAATGGCGCACTCCCAGCCCTGGCCCAGTTTCCTCTTCAGCGACCGCATCCGTAAGTGGCACATCCTCGAAAGCCGGCAAGGCCAACCTGAAACGCTGCTCCCTCAATGGAAAAGGAAATGGAAACTACTATAGTGTATAAGGGTTAAAAAGAGATAATGGAAAAAAGATGGAAACTACCATCTCTATATGATATATAACCCTAATGTACTATAGTTAACTTACCCATGCTCAGCTGGGAATTGTGGAATGGATCCCTGCGGCGGGCCCTATACAATCGTCTGTTGTCATCCATGAAATAATCGCATCTCCCTTTTTATGACCCTCCACTTATAACAAATACTCGTTCCAAATAATCTCCACTCTCAGAAACTCCCTAAAAACTAGCGCTGAAAGAGCCAAGACTACTCTTGAAAAGGATCCTCGCAATAATGAATTGGGGGCTCCGAGGTTCATGGGAGGGGGGGTTACTAGAGGGTTTCCAAAGCAATTTAGGACCCCCTTGATTTCCTGCGCGTGTTTATCGGAAACTCGGTTTTGCTGAGTTTTATATGATTGTAACTTGTTTTCCTTATGTAGATCGTAATTAGATGTCCATTGGCTTGAAGAGGTTTCCATTCGATTTTAGTTAGATTTCACTTGATCTTGAACCAGATGTTGAACAGATTTCACTTGATCTTGATTAGATATTGATCTTCTTTCGGTATTAAACAGATCTTTCTTCCGAGGAAAAAATTCCAAATGACTTTAATGAAATTGAAGTCGTGTTCTCGAGGATTAACTAGATTGTGAATGGGTTCTCTTTGGTTTTATTACGAACGATAAATCCGTTTAGAAAGATTAGAATTGAGTTGGATTAGTTGTTCATTAGACGTTGATTGATTGATTTCGCTTCAGTTGTCCACCTTTTTTTTATACCGATTCTAGATAATGTTAAATGATTTTAAATGGCTTCCAATTGTTTTTGGATTTTAGTTAGATTTCAGTTGATCTTAACTGGATCCCCCACACGTCTTTGCAATAAAACTCCCTATTATGAAATACTCCGGGGTGTCTTAATTAGGGGAGGGGGGAGGTCCCTTTTTGTAGTGGAAGGAATTAACCCCTACGGCCCATAAAAAGAAACCCTTTTCCTGATTTCCAGCATCAGTAAGTTCATCAATGAGTTTCTTGCCTTCAGGATGTATTGGAAAGATCACGCGCTTGGAGCTCTGACAAGCGGTTGAGGGCCTTGACAATTTCAAACATCGAGCGCTGCTGCAATTTCATCTATCCTAGCTACAGAGACCACAAACGTTACTGAACTTCTGGGAATTCTACTGCAGGCTTGGGGAACATGACATTTGTAGAATTGCAAAAATACTGCCATGGCCTGGAGGCAGCTTGAACAAGGAAAAAAGCCAAGAGTGTCTGAAGAGCGGTCCCTCTTCTGGGATCTCTGCGGCA